AGTCAATATTGTGGGTTGGGTAAAGTTAAATCATACCGCAAATTCCTGGGTAGTTTGACTAGGATCGGCTTCCACCATCTCTCTTAATTCATCGTTATTCACCTGTGTGGGCAGTCTTCCTCGTGGCTTGTTCTTCAAGTCGACGTTTCCATCACGAAAGTGTTTAAACCAAAATCGCACGGTGCGTTCATTTTTTTTTACATAAAATGGAGGGCAAATGACTGCGCTCCACCTGATGGTAAGCGGAGGCGCAGTCCAAACGCGAGGACAGCTAGTGAAAACAGTACGTAGATACTGCACTAGCCAACCTCACCTTAATATTGCGGGCTGTTTCTGTCGCGTTACTTCCGAGTCCGCTCGTATTCAAAAATCACTCGAATTCTCGCAGTATCCATTTTTCTTGTCTAAATTGAATAAAAAAATGGAAAGTCGATATTCAAATTTTTCACATTTTTTAAAAGAACATCATAGAAACCATATTAAAAAAGTTTCTTTGGAAAACCTCAAACCATGAAGATTCTATGTCAATTCAAGGAACCTATTACAATAAAACGATAATTTCATACTTTAACCCCTAATAGTAACCATTGTAACTAATTGTACTTTAACGGTTTTTAACAAAGTAATTTAATTCTTTAATATTATAGTGTTATGTTTTAAGAACAAATCACAATAAAACTAGGGCCTATTTTCAAGGTTTACAACATTATTATAAAACTGATTAGCATACGTTAAAATGTTCTTGTAACTTCTATAGTACCCATTTTGCTACTTAATTACTTAGCTTTTAGCAGTATTTCGAGACTCCTCTTTTTTTAATTTTGTCCCTCATTATTATTTATGATTACCGATTCTTGAAAAGAAAATTAATGAGGCCGCGTCTTTCATAAACAAATAGCAAAGTACCCTAAAAATAATACTTGAAACAGAATAATGCCTCAAGGAGTCTGCCGACTACGCTGTGCATAAATTTATCTCACTGCCATCTCAAATTCTGTTAGCATTCTACGGTCTTATAAAAGTAAGCACCACATTATTAAAATTCAGATAAACACTTTACATAATTACAAGTCTTATTTTTACGTACTCGTTCGATTTAAGAGTAATTATACTGGTACTATAAATAAGTAAAGTTTGTAACTTTGTTTGTTTGTAGAGGGTAATCTACGGAAATACTGATCCGTAATCCGATCATGAGAATTCTTTCACCTACGGGAAGCTACTTCATATATAGGGTGACTAAGGCTCTAATTTCCATAGGAGAAATCGCGGAAAACAGTATAGTCTGTAGTTAGGAATAAATCATCAACGACAACATCATGCCTACATGTTAATATCCCAACGCGGGCATAGGTCTAATTTTTTTTTTTCATATTTTACATACGGGGATCTGTAATCTGTGATCCGATCTGCAGAGTATGATACAATAATGGTCAATATAAAACAAAGAATGATGGTTGGTTGGAATAAATGTTATAACCTCCAATCTAACTGGTGCCTTCTTGTATTGGCTTTTTAAATATACACAATCAGAGTCTTCGTTTTTACTCTAGGCAGAAAAACATAACATTATATTAGGTCCTTACATATGAAATTGGTGTTTGGTGTGGGAGGTACAAAAACTCGAATATTTTTAAATATAATATATTTATTTAATCAAAGTATTAACCATTGCTATCTATGCACTTTTGCCTGTGAGATGGGAAGTTCATTGATCCCCTTACTAAAAAAACCATTCGGATGGGAATCAATAAAATCTTTGAAGGCGACTTGCACTGCCCCATCGGAGTTGAATGTTTTCCCTTGTAAGAAGTTATAAAAATTTCGAAAAAAATGGTAATCTGTTGGAGCAAGGTCCGGGGAGTACGGTGGATGTCTTAGATATTCCAATTGAAGCTTTTCTAATTTGGTAGCCGTCTGTTGTGCAGGTCTAGCATTGTCGTGAAGTAGCAATGGCGTACAGCGATTGACCAGCCTCGGATGTTTAACAGCTAGTTATTCCAGCATGGTTTGCAATTGCTGACATTAGACTTCTGCCATAATCGTCTGGCCAGATTTGAGAAAACTGTAATGAACGACACTGGCACTAATCCCCTAAACGCTTACAAGTAACTTTTTGGGGTTAATTTTCACTTGGGGCAGGGTTTGGCTGGCATGCCAGGTAAACCATTGCTATGAGCACTTCCGACTATTGTAAAGAATCCACTTTTCATCACAGGTATTGATTCGATTTAAAAACTCTTCATTATTGTGCCGGTTAAGTAATGTAACGCAGCAGTCGAAGCGCGTTTGCCGGTTTGCTTCACTCAATTCGTGAGGTACCCACCTTTCAATCTTTTTAATCTTTCGAATTTGCTTCAAGTGGATTAAAACGGTTTTATCACCGACACCGTAGCCTCAGCTAACTCGGACGTAGTTTGCGATGTATCCGCTTCCACAATAGCCTTCAATTCTTCATTATTACCTTGGGTCTCCGGCCGTCCACGGGGCATGTTCTGCAAGTCGAAATTTCCAGAACGAAAACGTTGGAACCAAAAACGCACTGTGTTTTCTTTTGCGACACAACCGCCATACACATCATTAACCCTTCGAGCCGAGAACCACGGTGGAACTCGTACTCGTAAATAACACGATATTTCAAGTTTTCCATTTTTTATACTGTGTGACGTAAATAGGACAAACAGAAGAAAAAACAAATGAACGCCGCCAAACGAAACACAAATGCATGTGTAAATGGCTGTATAAATTTGAATTTCGCATTCCCAACTAAGGAGGAGAAATTTGTGATTAAAGTGGTCAGTACGAAAAAACGCCAATTTCATATCTAAGAACCTAATAAATATTTTTATTACATAAATTGAACATGGCCTAGAAAGAAGTTAGCAAATAGTTACGAAATAAAATTACAACTTACGAATGTTGCGGAATGGCTATTATCCTTTCTTTAGACATAATTAAATTCCACCTCTACGAAACGCGTTTACCGTTTGTGTAGGTGGAATTACAAGTAAAATATTTCTTTGCACGTTGTGATTTGTAAATAGATTTATTATATAGACAAATCGATGTATATGATAAATGTTTCATAAAAAATCTTTTATAATTTGTTTATAACTAGCTGACCCAATATACGTCGTACCATCTCAGAATTAAATGACGTATCAAAATTCAATAAATTACCGTAATTTCTGAACGGTACCTAACAGGTACACCAGCAAAATTGTTGCTTTTACTATTTTCCTATCCTTGCAAATCGGTCCGTTCTACGCTTCGAGTTTAAGTGGAGAGTAACAATCGTCATTTCATAAAATGATCGAGTCGTGCCTCAATTTTTCAACAGACTAATATACTTTATAGCATGAATACGATGAACGACCACAGCGGAAAAACGATGACATTAATATTATGTACTATAAGCTTCTTGCCTTACACATTAACGACACTTGAACGCCAATGTTGCCAACGTGTAAAACGTATTTCGGCGCTTACACGAACGTAATAAAATAACCTCACCCTCAAGTCAACAAGACAAGAATAGCGTAATCGCACTTACATAGGTACTTGTTTGCGATTCTTAATTTTCATTACGGAGAGCAACTTCTGGTGGGCTGGCTCTTAGTATACCGTTCGCAATGAATTTTACTTAATCGACACCTCTTAGTCTGCTTTTAATTGTACTTGTTTCAATTTATTAGGCGTCTCTCATAGTATTCTTTGATTTTAAGATATTATTAAAAAATAATTTCATATATTTTTATCTTTTTTATATCAATAATCTCACTATTTAATGCATTTTATAGCATTAAATAGTCCCTTATATAGCATTACATTTTCAATAGTTATGTTTATTTTTTCATGTTGTATGCATAAAAATAAAGGAAGACAAGACGAAGGTATCAGGTTAGTCAATGAGACAGGCAAGATAGAGAATAGCATGTTGCACCAAAAAGAATGTTACTCATTATCTTAACCAACAAAAATTGAGTAAACTTTGATCCACGAAGTCGACCTTGAGTCGTACAAATATAAAATAATATAATTAGTGTACATCCGCTTAAGAACCTATGTGGTTACGTCAGCAGCTATCGGAATCCAACGCCCGCACCGCACCCACTATGTTTTACTAACATGCCCTTCTAGCCCAGTCAAATTAGCAAAAAAAGGGACGAAATGAGAGATAACAAGATGGATTGTTACATTCTAAATGTTGGCTCAAAATTTTCGTAAAAGCTTATCTGCGTCGTGAATTATTTTCCTAGTTAAAAATTATCGGTTTTCGCGATTACTTATATCGATTTTTATTATTCCAAATATGCTATAAGAGATTTTAATCTTAATTTTATAAACTTTATATGTGAAGTTTGTACAACCCAATTGTGTTTTAAAACAATGACAAAAGAATCACCGATAATTTTATAGTAAAATGCTTATTTTTAATTTTACTTTGGTGCTTTGGTGCAAGCATGAGCCAAGGATGCAAACGTAATCTTAGGGTGCAACCAAAAAAGATTTATACATATAAGTTTTTTGGGTGCCCTTGCACCCTTGCACTTGCAGCAAGGGTGAATGTAACCCACCACAGAAACCAACAGATGCAACGTATGGTGCACACCTGCACAAAAGTAAAGATAAACATAAATATATCTAAACTTTTTGATCTATACATAGAGCTTATAAATATATACTTTAATCATAAATTCAATAGCTTTTAAACGGTTTCATTGCGTTTGTATTTAGTTTTAATGACGTTTCGAACACTCGACGTCTATAGATTCCGTGTTCACATAAGACTTATGTATGTAGAACCGTTTAAAAGTTGTTTTCTTTATCCGTGAAAATAAAAGAAATCAATATATATATTACTCTTCGGAGATTTTACTCTTTTCCCCTTTGACTTTACTCTTTGGAGTCTGAATTTGGAGTAGTTAATATTTTATGCGAATATTACAAACTTAACACAATTACAGCACAATTCAAAGAGAAAAGTATTATTGTACAACATGTCTCGCATATCGGTCAACATAAAAACTATGGTGTCGAAAGAAACATCAACAGTTCCAGAGAAACAGGAGGAGACAAAGGATAGTGAAGAATCGCTGCTGAATGTAGCTTTACGGCTATCATCTAATGGATTAAGGCTGGGAAGCCTCCTTCGCACTTGGACTGAAGTTTCTAGAATCAATTATATGTCATCACAGCCTTTGGATGTCATCACATCGAGTGCACACGTCGAAGGTATCTAAAAATCTTAAGATTGTTTGCTTGGCTATATCAATTAGAATTAGATAGAGCGCCGAATATATTAACGAAAAGAGAACAATTTAAATCTTACCTTTTTTTTATTAATGCATTAGAAATGCACCATAAGTCTTAAAGCAAGAATCTCCAACCACAAGGCCAAGGTCAAAACGTGATTGGCCTACCTGATACTAATACCCACCGTACGCATGAATGAAATGTTATTTATTTTATACTTTGTGTGATTTCTGTAGTAAAAAAAAAATGGTAAAATTCCGTCTTATATGATCTTTTAATGAAGGTTTCGGTTGTCTGTAAGTTTTCTGTAAAGATCACTTCAAAAATATATAAAATCAATTCTACTGCAAAGTTATCTCATGATGATTAATTTTAATTTGATAATAAATTAGATTTTAGTAAGCGTTTTATAAAAAATCGTGACAATATACATACTTATTTTATATTAAGGAGATAATATAAGACGCCGCACCATTGGTATTCCAATGAATGTATACTCGATACATTCATTCGTCCCCAAGGAACTTCGAAACAAAAGTGAAGAGGACCTATTCGCTGAGCAAGTAAGTCTTGCGAATTTATTAACACTTACTTAAAAAACAAGAGGATGCTATTGTATACGTAAAAGAAACATTGTCTTATGTTTTAAGGTAGCTCGGGTTTCGGGTTTTCAGTGATATTAAAGATAAACGTTTGCTTTATTAGATTACCTAACACGTTACAGTTTTAGATTAATTGAATTAGACATGGCATGATAATGGCATCATAATAATATCAATTATAAAAATTAACATTTATATTTTTCACCACGTAAAAGACGAAAAATGTAAACAAAATGAGCCCAAATTTAAACAAATATCCTTTAAAACTCATTCGATTTCTTTTTTATTAATTAATGAGCTCAACGCATGCCTATGATATCAATGTGCTCAATTTGCTATTGATTTTCTTTAGAATATCGATATTGCTTAATACAATTCAAACTATTTTCTTGTTTTCTCGATGGAATAAATTTCTTTATTGACTTGCTTTTAATAATTCTACCGGTTTATTTAACATTCTATCAAAGTTCTGATTTATGAACTGTTCCTTGATGTATGCATATGAAAACATAATGTATTCTTTCACCACTTCGTGAAAATAAACGAAAACTTTCTATCCGAATTCATGCCGAATGAAATATTCATGAATGTTGAACTTTATTATGAAATATTTTCGTCAACATTCCTTCAAAGCTTCCATATTTAAGGGCAAAGGTAGGTAGACACTTAAACGTTCCAAAATTGGAAGCGAAATTTGATGCAAACTTCAGGTAAATGTCTTAAAACTCGTTTAACTTCCGCAAAACGGAAGTTTTAATAAATATGTAGGTATAACATTACTAAAGTTGAGTACGTTCAGTACAGTACAGTATAATCTTACAAAAGCTACTTAAATATAACTTGAGTATATCATGAAGTTTTAATTAGTAAGGATGTTTTCATCAATATAATCTGATAACATGAGTATTCTTTTTATTTATATATATATTTTTAACGTGGATGGCTGATTAACATATTTACTGAACTAAAGTAGAAATGTACTGCTATATTTTAAATGTAGGTTATATCGTAAGACTAAATTTTTAAATAATAAATTAATACCAATAGTCACCAAATATATAACTCGTTTCCGTGGATGGACATCATTTATCATCATAAACTTATCAATTTATTGAAATCAGAAACCTTCCTAAAGAAGCTTTTTATTCAACAGTGAAAACTTCATCAAAATCCATTACGTGATATATACGGACATAAAACTCGAACAGACATTGCATATCACAATGGCGTAACGTAGAACGACAGTTAAATTGTTATTTTAAAAAATATATGATATTTTTATTTTCAATAATTTCAGTTCCCCGTAAACGTAACCCCTTTGATGAACGAAGATCAGTTATGGGGTTGCTTCTATATAGTGCCGGAGATTTACGCAGATATGTATTCACCTACTATTAGAATCCGAAAAATTGAGGATGTTCCAGAACTTACAGGAGGGATTTTGAGTAGAGACATGGTCACCGCATGCTTATCCTATCTCAAGCGTACACCTATTCTGGGCGACTTTGTTTACATCAAACTTGATCTCTCGTCAAAGGTGAGCGACATCTTGGATGAGTCTGTAAGGAATACTCCTCTTTTATAAAAATAATATCAAAGTCACTCCGATGCTCAAATCTCCTCAAATGCCAGTCTTCTGAAAAGTTGTATGGCCAGTCTTTTGCAAAATTTGTATGACCTGAATACATACGAGATCGATCAGTGACGAATTCTATAATATAGGACATACATATATTTATACAAGTATTTCTTTGTGATATCTTTAAAAGTATCGAATGAACTTTTTGCAATGTGAAAAACTAATCTTTTAATATACATTATTTTCATTATTAATGATTTTTTATTATATTATTCACCAACGTTAGCGTCTTTACGTTTTATTTAAGAACGGTTAAATTGTGAGATATCTTCATATTTCAGCACCTTATTAATATTGACGTTTTACAACACTACAAGTACATAGTTTACCTGGACATCTCATCTAATCTGTTGACTGAACTAAGCGTCCTCAAATATCTGCTGTATCTTCAATATCTCTCGGTGGCGTTCAACAGACTCAACACAGTCTTGGAATATGATACACGTAAAGTATTCATGCACATTATAATTAAGATATTTCATCCATTGTTTACTAATTTTCTTATATTAATGTTACTACCTTCTCGTGCTTTTATAATGTATGTAAGTAAACAAAGTCTTTGTTTGTAGATATATTTCATTCAATTTTTTACGTACAAAGACACTTGTTTTATTATGAGAAAGATGCACGCGCACGTCTCAATGGAGCAACTATATTTATTTGGATATAGTTGATACACAGACAGAGCGTATCTTCATGGACTCGCCACAATTGCCAATCAAAATACTTTTTTTTTCTAGATCCATTTTCCTTTTGAACCGTACGAGCCGTGTAAATATTGATTAAAACTTTCAACCGGCACATGTCCTTAGGTCTTTCGCACGACAGTTGATAAAAAAACGACTAATATACATATAAATATTGAATACAAATTCTGCTTTGGAACGAGTCGATCTATATTTATGGCAAAAACATGATTTGCTCTACGTCTTAATATTTTAAAGATACGTTTATACAGTATAATTTCATGTTGTATTTTTTCCAGCACAATGGTTTTTAACCGAAGTCCACTACAAGTTCAATTCGGTGAAAAAAATAAGAGATATTAGCATGTTTTGGTCAATCACGATATTAGATTTGTCCCACAACAATATCAAAAACATTAGCGGATTAGGAAACTTGAGGTTGTTCTTTCAGAAACATTCTTCTATCACTAATGTTAAAGTAGAAACGCATTTTGTGTATTGTCATGAGAGAAATATATCTGTTCCATTCTAATGTATGATATGACATGATACAGTAACAATAACAAAACTCATGTGTTCCGCCTTTATTCAAGATGTTAGGCAATAAATATCCATGTCCCTCTGCTTCGTTTTTTAATTTTTAGGGTTCCCTACGAGAAAAGATAAAACAAAACCCATAAAAGATCATTTGGTTTTCTGATTATCCGTTTGTCCCTTAGTCAGAGTCAACTTTTACCAAAACTAGTACTACTTAATTTGGAATCGTTGAGGTATATGAGTGTTACCTGATATTTGTTTATTTTCTTGTTACTTTCTCCATTTTGTTAGTAATTTAATTACCATTACTGTTAAGATTTCGTTCAATTATATCAAAGAGTACAAGAACGCGGAAAAATAGCACTTACTTGACTGATTTACATAAAAGCTTCTAAAAACTCAAATGCTATCACCGATCTATGGGTCAGTGAATACAGGAATAGTAATATCACTATTTTATTTATAAAAGCTAAAAGAAAAATTTACCAATTGAATTCTTTATCTACACTATTTATTTTTTATTTATTTCAAAATTGTTTTAAAAAATAATAATATTCAAACCCTATTTTCTATTATAGGTACCTTCGCCGTTTGGACTTGTCATTCAATCATATTCAGCGCCTTGAAAACTTGAACCACTTGCGATTACTCTGGCTCGATGTATCCTATAATAACATATCGAGTTTCGAAATAAGTGCCACCACCGGTTTATGGACACTCCTGTACCTTGAATATTTGAACCTCAACGAAAACAATCTTACATCAATGAAAATATTTTCCGGTTGTACCAGGTGATTCTTATCTTTCAATATTTTAAACGTGGTCGTTTATTTATAATAACAAAATCAGCATGGCAACTATGTGACATTTGAGAACTAACCAAATTTTAACCAAGACCCTCATCTCCGACTTCCATAAAGTGAAACCCCAAAAGGCCGACACAATGCCCCTTGCATTAATAACTTGACTGAGATAATTAATTATATGTCCAGGAGAGAAATATGTCCTTGCAGGGTGAAATTTAAACCTTAACTTACCAAACTTCAAGGTCAGTGAATATAAGACTGTACACCTTTTGTAATTATGTAACTTCTTTTTTAATACGAATTATATAACGTATGTATCAGACTCCGAGAACTTCACGCTCGCAATAATCGGTTGAGTATGCTCCTCGAGTTGGCGGTTTATATGCGTCAAATGCGCAGACTGATTGTTATTGACCTGCGAGCAAACCCCGTATGCTCCATCCCTGGGTATAAGGAGGTCGTTATTAACACATTCCCTCTACTGCTCAGTTTAGATGCTCAAGAATTGGATCCCATAGAACAGGTATTTGGAAGCTGTTTTAAGAAAGCACTATTAAAAGTTGCAATTTAAGTTGTAGGCAATGCGTTATTTAATTTTAGTTCTCCTGATTTGATTTCAAATATACTTTAACTGTTGGATTAAAATTTACACTATTTCAAGGTAATCGTTTTAATATCCTACTAGTATTATAAATGCGGAAGTTTGTGAGGATGAAAGTATGTACGAGTATGTATGTTTGTTACTTAACGAAAAAAATACTGGACGGATTGTGATGAAATTTAGTATACGGATACTTCTGAGCGTGGATTAACATATAGGCTACTTTTTATCTCACTATATATTTTCCTAGGGAGCACTCGCGTGAAGCCGCTGGTGAAAGCTAGTTGAAAGAATAAAAACTTATTGACTGTTTCTAGAGAAGTTATAAAATGGAAAAAACTCCTGAGATTCACACATTTGCTACACGTCGTTTGCTGCGACTTCTATACATTGAACATATGTCAAGGGCTCGTGTGTCCCCTAATATACCACCAGCAGACACCACCGACGTCGGGCTAGTGGTACTAGTTGGTTACGAATGTGTGGGCAAAGGCAAGAAATATTATACTCGTACTTAGTAGCTATAGTGATCTGTATCACCCAGGGTAACAAAAAAAATTACTCAGGTTTTTAGTGTGCTAATTTCTAACCGTTTAAAAAGAGAGTCCTAAATTCAATTCATAGAGCAATTGAAGCAAGCAGACACAGAAACTTAGCGGACCTCTTCACTTCCTGTAGCTCAATTCAATTCTGCCATGTTATCACAATTATTGCTTTTCAATAGCAGCTGTTTGCAACACATCACAAAATAGCAAAAGAATCTGTCATCAGTGATTCATAGAGACGACATTATACTTATATTATTTGGCGTCAGGTAGATAATAAAGTATGAAAGTGCAATTACTTGGAAGGCCATTGAAGCCAAAGCCTTGGTCCACAGACCCAGAAATAATACCAGCACAGCAGCAGAGGTACATCCAATAACCCAACAACGTTGAAGTTAAATATTCAATAAGAAATGGAATCTAATTCGAAAAAAACTCTTACGAAAGCTTTTCAGAAATTTAAGCGGAAGTTGACTACCACGGATATTATCTTTATGATTTCATGTTTAAAGAACAAAATTACATTTCAGTACGACAAAACAAAACCTACGAGTATATAATGTTATTGTTTTTACAGCTTTCAAAAGCTAATTTATTTCGGGTGACCCAGTAATATCTGAGAAAACATTCCGACTTCGAATAGAAGATAAGTATAATATGACCTAAGTATGCATAAAAAAATCGTTAGGAACGACTCGACAGGGGTTCAAAAGTAAAATGTAGATCAATGGGCGCAAGAGGTTGCTTCGGGTACGTAGCTACCGACTGACCTTAAAATATCGAATTTTATCCTACGTCTCTTCCAAAAAAATGCAATTTCACCGTATCTCACCCAATATGTTCCCCAACATACTGAACAATAAAATCCTACGCTAGGTAGAGTATTAAATAAAATCACTAAATGATAAAAATATACAAGCAATAAGTTTAGATGATAATAAAACTACTCTACTGAAGATTAATTTATATGTAGGTAAAATTACATAATGGTGGACATCATGCAAAAAAAGTTTTTGAGGGACAGAAATAATGTACTGAATATTTATAAAAATAGACCACGCATATTTCAACAAATTCTATATTAGAATAAATTAAATTAATTTTAAAAAACATCGACAACTTCATTAGTCACGTCACCAATATCTGGCATGATAACAAGTTGAAAATAATAGGTAATGTTGTAAACTAATAATATATATGCTCAAAATTCTTTTGGATTGAACGAAGCACATCTCTGCCTTAATCCTGCCAATCAGAGTTTAACTTCCTTTCGGTAGTTTTATAAGAGTTTATTATTAGTCAAACGAACTTACCTGTACGTGAAGTTCGACTGTAATTATGTGAAGTTGTTGTCTCGTCCGAAGATGATGAAAGTTTACTAATGTAGTCCCGGCTTGTATTCTCAGGCGTCACACAATTTTAAAGCTAAAAGCAAAAAATAAAAGAAAAAACGGAACGCACACCACTAGTCACCGTGCTGCCATCTATATCCCAAATTCCTCATTCAAGTTCAAAGAATTAATTTTACAACATAGGGTTAGTACAAATGTTTTAACTTATTGTAATTATTGGGTAGGGAGGGACTCATCATCTTCGGACGAGACAACAACTTCACATAATTACAGTCGAACTTCACGTACAGGTAAGTTCGTTTGACTAATAATTATGTTCGTTGTTGTCTCGTCCTCGATGATGAAAGTTTACTAATGTAGATGTTTGAAGCATAAGTTGTAAAATTAAAAGAAAAAATAAACAATTGAAATTAAATATTCTTTTATTTCAATATCCTTATTGCACCTGATCAATTTACTTTAACAGACTTCAAGAATTATAATCTTATTATTATGTATCTATTCTAAATACAGTTTCTGCAAACTCCAAGTTATTAATTATAGGTCTATTATAAAATTTACCAAAAACCATAGAGTCCCCAGACCAACCAGCCGTTCGTCTTATCTCATCAATATTAACCCCTTTCTTATATGCTGCAGAAGTTGAAGCATGTCGAACACTATGTGTCGTGAATGTTGTGATGTCTATTCCACTTTCTTCCATACATTTTTTAATCCAACGGCTGATTGTGCTGGTAGAAACACTCTTGAAAGGTTTTCTGAAAGATGTGAACAAGACATTTGATGTTCTTATATCTTTAGTAACTTTTAAATAATTAATTAATGCCCTAGCTGGACAAATTGCAGCTCTATTGTTAAAAAAAGGTAATGTAAGAAAAGGTTGGCACCTATTAGGTGCCGAGGTCTTAACTAATTTATCTATTTTTATTGTTATACAATCATCTTTAATAACTATATTATTTATATCAATTAGTGAGATCGTTTGAACCCTTTGGCCAGTAGCTAATACTAGTAAAGTTGCAGTCTTTCTTGTGATTAATTCTAAATTATTATCATCTATATATCTTTCTTCCAATAATTTTAGTAGTTTAGAAACATCCCATGTCATATTATATTTAGGGGCACTTGGCCTTAATTTAAAAAAACCTTTGAACAATCTCTTTATTGAATCATCTGAACCTAATTGTGAGCCCATTATTAATGACAGTGCAGATCTATGTGAATTCAAACTACCATATGACAACCCATCATGAAATTTCTTAGTAAGATACACTATGACCTCAGGAATATTAGGACTAGTCAATGAAATGTTATTTTCTTGGCAGTACTTAGCCCAAGCAACTATACAAGGTTGATACTGTTTCAAAGTGTTGATGGAGATAGAAGCCAACATAATTTCTGCAGCGTCATTGTTGATTCCTAATTTCAGGAAAGCCTGCCTGATAATACTCCTGCCATCAGGCTTAAGTTCTTGTGCAGGGGATGCAGGTCTCTGGAATTTTGTAAAAATAGTAAATCTTTAGCAGGTTCAAAAATAATAGGTTTATCAACTAGTAGTTTTTCAAATAAAGGAAACCAGGGCTGGGTACTCCAATATGGTACTAACACTATTCCTTTGGCTCTATCTGTTATAATTTTTTCTAAGGTCTTAAGGACCATAGAGAAGGGGGGGAAGGCATAAAATCTTAGTCTTGTCCAACATAGAGTGAATGCATCAATAGCGAATGCTTCTGGGTCTGGATGCCATGATACAAAGCATTCACATTTGGCATTTGTCCTGGTTGCAAACAAATCTATTGCAGGTTTTCCAAATAAGGTGACAATTTGATCATAAGCTTTCTCATTCAATTCCCATTCAGTGTTACCAAGCTGTTTTCTTGACTCAAAATCTGCTATTACATTATCTTTGGTATTTATATATGTTGCAAAGATATGTAAGTTTCTGTTTTCACACCACTGCCAAATTTGTTTAGATATATTATGCAAATGAGGATATTGAATACCACCAAATCTATTAATATATGAGACTGCTGTTATGTTATCAATCCTAAGCAATACATTACTATCTTTGATGTTAGAAGCAAAACATTTCAATGCAAAGAAAGCAGCCAGTAACTCCAGAGAATTTATATGAAGGCTTAACTCTAGTTCTGTCCATGTTCCTCCTGTTTGTTTAGTACCACAGGAGGCACCCCAACCTGACCGAGATGCATCGCTGAAAATTTCTAATTTGTAACTATTTTTTCGAATATTATTATTGGATGTCAAAATCATTTTTGACCACCATCCCAGATCCTTCTTACAATGCTTAGATAAAGAGATCTTAGATTCATAATTGTCATTGTTTTTCAAAAGAGATAAAAACTTAGTTCTTTCTAATTCCTTTGTGTATAATAATCCATATTTAATGGCTGGACAAACAGACACCAATTTTCCAATAACATGGGCTAAAAATCTTATTGTTATAGTATTCTTTACAATTAGTTCAGTTATTAATTTTAAACAATTTTGTCTTTTTTCTGTAGAAATATTAATGGTCATGTTAACTGTATTAAAGATAAACCCTAAAAAAGCACATTCCTGTTTTGGAGTGAATTTACATTTGTCTTTATTAACAATGAAACCTAATCTTGAAAGCAACTCTTTTGTTATTTTCATATTTTCAAAACAATCATTATAATTTTTGCCTATACACAAAAAATCATCAAGATATACAACAGATAAGAAACCTTTTTTACGTAAGTAAGATGTCACTGGTTTCATAATTTTTGTGAAAGTTAGAGGCGCAGAACATAACCCAAAGGGTAATACATTAAATTGATAGTAATTGCCCTCAAAATAAAATCTTAAATATTTTTTACTACTATCATGAATACTAATCATGTAGTAAGCATCTTTGAGATCTAGGGATATTAAATAATCATTATTGTGTATAAGTTTACAAACAGTACGATAATCTTCTAACTTAAAGTGTTCACAATTAACAAAGGTGTTTAATTTTTTAAGATTAAGGATGAACCTGAATGATCCATTGGGTTTTTTGATAACAAAGATAGGTGAACAAAACTGATTATTAGTGGGTGTACACTTATTAATGGCTTTTATACTTAATAACCTCTTGATTTCTGATCTTAATTGTAATTGTTCTGATTTAGGAAAGTTATTGTTCAAGGGAACAAACTTCTGATGAGGTATTTCCCTGAATGGGATTTTATACCCCTTAACCCATTCCAATATAATGGGATCATTTGTTATTTGTTTCCAGTTATGAATATAATAACAAATTCTTCCTACCTCTACAATTATTTCTTCCCTCTCCTCGCAGGTGCCCTCTCTTCTTTCCTCGATGCCGGTTGGTGTTTGTTGAATGCTGGCCCTCCCAGCTTCTGGAACCTCTGCTGTGGTCCGGCTCGAGGAGGGCCCCGCCAGTTTAAAGTCCTAGTGTTAGTCGCCTTCTTGTTGTTTGCTTCAGTACGATTCACAAAAGGTTTCTTTTTGTCATCAACTTTAAGTTCCTTTCCTGATTTTTGCACAGCCTTAGCTGTCTTTATCTTCTCTGTAAGATTTTCTCCGAACAGGTACTCCCCTGTCTCCGTCTCTAACAGGAAATCTTTGAGATCCTTGTTGATACTTGATAAGATAAGAGATCTGCGACCCCTGGAGTCTAAAAATAGCGAATCACATAGCAGTCTTCCAGCATCGTTCATCTTTTTTATTATGGCAAGTTTATTATCTTGGCTGTTATGTAGTGACATTTGCAGAGCCTGTCCTATACAAGAGATTGCTGTAGAAATCTGCTTCTGCCTACTTTCAATTACCTGATCCCGCTTTCGAGCACTATCTATAAGAGCCACAGCTACTTCTTTATTAAGTTTTGGTGATATCATCTTGGGAACATTGTCAAAAGAACTATTTTCTTTTTGTAGTGTCTCTTTCTCTTCTTTTTCCAATCCTTTGCTTAATATTTCAGACCATCGGTCTGCTATCTCCTTGTGTAAAACTTCTTTTTTAGGAGCTGGGGCTGGAGCCACGCCCAATACGCTTAGAATTTCTGCATCTAAGGAGCCCTCTTGTTCATCGTCTCCTATGAGACTACCATCAGGAAATTCGTCTTCTGGCGGCAATGGAACATTCTCTTTATCAGGCTGTCCTTCTATTAGCTCCGTTTCGTCTGAAAAGTCGAAAGACATATTTAATGTCGAGTTTCGGCATGTTCATTCCCACAGAATGACCTAGCCTAACCTTTTTTCCAACCAAAAAACCACGTGTGTTCCCACGAAACACCCCTAGGTTTTTCTATTGTTAATTACTTGTCAGCCATATACATTCCCGCAGAATGTCCCAGGCCCAGTGTAAAAAACAATATTGGTGCTTAATTGCAAAATTCGTAGTTTCCGAGAGGAAAAAACAAAACCATGTGCTCAACCTCACCTTCACAATCCGATGCCGGTAAATCCATGATCTTCCTCTCTATCTTTCTTATTTTCTTAAGTAAATGATTTTTCTCTTCCTCTGGTGACCTCTTTCTCGACATTTTTCGTTAATTTTATTAATAAAAAACTAAAAATTATTAAGAAAACGAAAAAATGGACGCCGCATCGAAAACACAAAAGACCGAATGAGGAATTTGGGATATAGATGGCAGCACGGTGACTAGTGGTTGCGTTCCGTTTTTTCTTTTATTTTTTGCTTTTAGCTTTAAAATTGTGTGACGCCTGAGAATACAAGCCGGGACTACATTAGTAAACTTTCATCATCGAGGACGAGACAACAACGAACATAATAGTGGATTCTACAAAATGTATTTTTTTTTTTTCATTATATTTAAAACGATTACTGATTCAATCGTCTCAATCTTTCTTCTTGATAATTCATAAAAAATAATTCATCATATGTTACTGTACCTCGTGTGTTCATAAGTTTTGAGACAAACTTTTACTGGAAAAATAAAATAAAATGTTACTGGTTGTTATTTTAATTTTTTTACCGACTTTGAATCTGTAATGTGAATTTTTAGTTTATTTGTAACGCAAATTCACTTGTTTATATTTTCTCGTGATGGAGGGAACGAAACAATTACGTGCAACTGTCATTTCACTATTTAAGGCGGGAAAAAAATGTCTATTACACAATACAGCGGTACAAAGCGAGAAGTTATCTGCAATATCGCCAAAGGATCAAAACTCATCCGAGAGCGACTTCGCCAAAATCCATGTTGCACTCTGAAGCAACTCGCTCTGCAGACTAATTTTTCGAGCGTTTCGGTAAACAGAATACTAAAAAATGATCTTAAGGTAAAGACCTATAGTCGTAGAAAAGTACACTTATTAAACGATTGTCTTCGTAAGTTACGTTACGTTTACGTGAACGTTGTCCATTGCTGCTGAGGGGAGAAGATACTCTTCACCGACGAGAAAATTTATACTGTCGAAGAAAAGTTCAACTGACAAAACAATAAAGTGTACGCTAAAAGTATCAAGGAGGTCCCAGCTTTTGCACGGAATGTCTCGCGCACTCATCATCCGGCTAATGTGATGGTATGGTTGGAAGTTTCGTATGAAGGTGTCACTCCGCTCCATTTCTGTCAACAAGGTTTCAAGATAAAAACCAAGAATTATCAGAGTAACATTTTAAAGCCCGTAGTGAAACCCCTGTCTGATACATTATTTCACAATAAGGCTTGAGTTTTTCAGCAAGACTCGGCGCCATCTCGTAAGGCAAAAAGCACTCAAGCTTAGTTGAAGGAGAATGTGCCGGCCTTCATCGTGGACAACGAGTGGCCCTCCTCCAGCCCCGACCTCAACCCGCTGGATTATTCTTTATGGACTAAATTAGAGCTCGGGGTCTGCCGAAATTCCCACCCAAACTTGGAGTCACTAAAGCGAATCCTTGTTCGAGAAGCAAAGCAAATTCTGCTAGAAAAGATTCGTGCCGCCATTGATGACTGGCCAAATTCATTATAATTTTCTTAAGTAGTGACATGTTCTGTCAACATTACGTCAGGCTTTACAAATCTGTCAAATTTCTTCACTAGATTATAAATCTTAACGCATTCAGAGTAGAGTTGAAAATCAACTGGAAAAATTTATCAAATTGTAATTAATTTCATATGATACAATAATTTATACAATATTTTTAATATATAATAAGCCTCATTTTTCTAGTTTATTTGGAGCCGCTTAGTGAGGCGCAATCACTCATGTAATAGGTGTGGTACATAGAAAAAAAATGTGTTTAGGGGGACCTATTCACAAAAAATACTTACGAAGCTAGTTGTTTACACAATTTTTTATAAACAAACTATAAACTACAAGAAGTAATATTTGTTTACTGTATCATATCACAGTTTACTTGTATAGGCAATCAAAGGTAGGCACCTACTTATATCAGTTCGTAGTTCAAAGGTAGCACTTTTAAAAGTTGTTCTTTCCAATAGTTCTCCAGGGAATTCTGTCAAAGGAGACAGATAAGTTTTTCTAACTCCAAAAGTTTTGATCCGTACATTTGAAATCCGACGGTATAAATTATCAATAGATTGACGATTCCTATACCTATTTATTCAAAGTATATTTATTGTACAGTATTTATATCTCATTAGTATTAGTTCATTTGAGAATTGTGTGACTCAAGCAGCATAGAAAATGTCCTCCTGACATTACAACATACCTAATAATTTAGAGGAGGCGAGTGTATATGTCTTATTAACTTTCTTTACCACTTTTAACTTTCCTTACTACTTATTAACTTTTTTTACTACAAATCTTAATAGTTCTTTAGTAAGTACATTAAAAGTTTATTTAGGATACCAAGGAAAAATAAATAAATAAGCCTTTTTTGATAGTTTTTCTTTAAATATAAAACAAGTTATAATTCTCGCTTGTGTTATGAAAATCTGAAACATCGAATGTACCACAACATTAAGACCCTAGGACAATATAGAAAACTTCAAATTTGTGGAGGAGATTAAAAATTGACAAAAATCGTCTTAAACAATAAAAGTTGCCTTAAATAAAAATATTTTCTTCAGGTACGTTAGCGAGGCGTCTCGCACAATGCTGTCCATCAAACGTGCAACTCGGATACCTGCACACCACCGCACGCTACCATCCTTCTACGCGATACAAAGAGGTTACACGTACGAAGTTCGATGACATGTTACTCGCCGGTGAATTCCTTACTTACAGTGAAATGGATGGCGAATCGTACGGTTTAAGTAAGCTTCATTAAAATCATATCAATTGGAAGTGAAAAAATCAGTATCAAGTCGGCTCGGACACATCAAAGAACATGCAATATTTCAGATAGCTTTGTACTGAGAAAAGAACTTAGCATGAGGCCGGTGTTACAATATAACTTTGATAACATAATCTCGGTAATTCATGATTTTCTTCATGATTTCAGGTCGCCAAGAAGCGTTCATCAACGAGGGTAAAGTAAAAATTGTCTGTATGGACTTGATAGGAGCTTTAATGTTAACATTACGTGGCCTCTCACCATATTTGATACTTGTCACTAAATTAGATAAAGTATTATTAGATTTGAAGCAAAAGGAACGTAGAAGGTTAAAAATATTTCTATTAGGTGCTCATTTACTAAGAGTAAAAAATAAGCGAATATATTATTTTACTTATTTTTTTCAGCGAACGCAACTTGGCTAACCAACAACGAATGTCGTTGGAAACTCCATTAGAACGATCAACTTTACAAGTATTGCTATCAGGCCGTATCATAATAACTGGCATACTCAACGAAATTCTATATGTTAGTACATCGTTGACATTACTGAGTGTAACAAATCTAAAAGTCTAATAGAAAATCTAAACCACGGCACTATAAAGTAATTCTTGAAATGTAATTTAAAAAGGGATCTACTTTAAATCATTTAGAAAGATACGACAATAATATTCAAGACAGTTTTATAAACTCCATATAAAATGTTGCTGACAAATTCAATTAAATGAAATTACAAACATCAACGTAATATAATAATTACAAATTGAAACAGACCGTATGTAATTGTCCGCAGTTTTTACCCGATGAAAAAGAAAAAAGTGAATTCGTTATGGAATCTGAATGTTCTCTGATGATGGATAGCGAAGCAAGACAAGCCATGAACAATAACACTAGGGGATACAATCTACTCACATTATTGGCTTCAGTAAATGTTTCTTTTTTAATATGTATTTATAGAGAAAAAAAAATATTCTAAAACCTAGCTCCATGAGACCATATTGAACTTTAAAATGTAGATATTAATTTATTGACGTTTACTCATTGCTGAATTATTGCATGACATTGACATAATTTTATAATTAATTAATGGGTCCATCGACACCATAGAACACAAATTCTGCAGTTTGTTTATTTGATAATTACTTCTTACGTAGTTTTCCTTACCTTCCCAAGGGCATCTATCGCAATGAGACATAAATTAAACCATTCCCTTGATGTTATAGAGTGCTACATCTTTGGAAGAGTCAGGCAATCGTCCACAGGAGCAAAGTCAAGTGGAGTCTAGTTTGTATTCCCTGTACAAGGAGTCCCAAGGGACCGGTACAGAATACAACAGCTATGGTCAGAACTCTTATCAGGAATCCCGAAATCAAACCAATCCTAAGTACTTGACAACATTCCTTGACTTGTTTTTATTTCCTACAATATCAAGAGAAGGATAGCTTAAATCGTTTTAATTGACATATTTTTAATCTTAGCACAACTTTATATAAAATGAAATAATCAATGTATGAAATAAGTATTAGAATAAAATAAATTTATAGCATATGTATCATTGCGGAGTCAAAACTATTCTTTTGAAAATAGTTAAATAACTCTCTCGTTTTAGACATACTGAACGACGACCATCTAAGGGCCCAAAAAGTGTGGATTTTAGTAGATACACATCCTCCACCTGGAAAGGTAAAACTGTACATAAGATTGTTTGGAAAATGTTAAAATTGTTCAAGTTAATAATTTAAATAATTGTAGGTACACTAAAACTGATGAAACGTTCAATTTATTAACAAATCCTACTAAACACATTGAAAAGCAAAAAAAAATATATATTAAACTAACTCTTAATCAACACCACAACATCAACATCAGGCTATATATTTGAAAGTGTAATGTTTTTATGTCATAACATTGTGTATTGTGTATTGTGTATTGTGTGTAAGTAAGTAGGTACTAGGCTAAATTATTAACCAAGCTTATATTAATCGAAGCTGTTACTATTCTGAACATTGTTAAATTCTTATTGTCATAGTTTACCAAGTTTAAAATAATAATTGTAACTGTCTCTAATCGTCAAGGATATTCTGTGTTACCGGATGGCTCGAAATCTTCTAAATCGGTGACGTTCACGTCACAGGAGAATGCGGAGAACGATGTGCACGCGAATACAACAGGATTAATTATTGAATCTAGACAACCAGGTAAAAGATAAACTGATATATATTTTACGTTTATATATTATCGGAAGATAGTTTTAGAGATGTCCCTGGAAGAGTGAGTCATTTAAGATGATAAATAAATTTAAATTAAATCTAAAAACAAAAAAAAAACGAAAGAGCAAAAAAGACAAAAAAAAACTTTTATTTCACTTTTTTTTGGCTTATTAAACCGAGACTAAGGTTAGTTACTAAGGTTTAATTAAACCATTGATCGCTTTAAACAGATTGACAATGATATAAGATAAAAAACATCAAATTGACACGTGTTGACATGTTTTGGTCGGTTAATGATTAAACATGCTATTAAAATTAGTCCTGCTTTTATTAATACGAATAATAATTAAATGTTAAACTACCCACCAGATCCTAAAAAATTAGACCGAAAGATAGCGGGCCGCTCAATCAGTACAAAAGTACCAGGATGGAGGGACTACGGGCGAAGCGCCAACTCCGCTGATGACCCGGAGTTATGGCTGGCATTCTTAATGGAAACCGGCTTACTCAGAGCCAGTAGCATACACCAGACATGTAATTTTAAAGAATTATCATAAATATGTATGATACGTATTTGCAGCGGCGGTCATAAGTTTTCATTAGGGTTAAACGAATTGTTGTATTGGTTCTATTAAATTTTTAATGCCAAATACAACTTCTCTTGACACGTTTCACAAGTCACGAAAATTTTATTCCTCACATCAGACAGTCCGCGACTCTTCGTCCATTCTTTTGTTGTTTTTACGCTCTTTGCCACCTTGCTCAGACAGTAACTAATCCATTCGCTCTACGACGAGCCAGAAGGTGCGTTCCTTGCAATGTACCTACCTAAGATTTACATAAACAACAATTACAATTTGACTGTATAAAACTATAGCGCGACGTAGGCGTTTCCGTTTGGAGCGAACGATCATATATCTAATCAATATAAAGTTTTCAAAGCGATTTCAAATATACAGAGTTAATATATCTATGATATAACAACAACCACAACAAAACGCAGCTGTGAGCATGTCAGAATTTAAACAGATAAATAACATGCCTACATTATAGCGAAATAAATAAATCTGGAAAAATTACATTTATCCCGACTTCCAGTGTACATAATTATTTTGAATATTACCGCAAAATAAAGCACTTGACTTTGTCAGATGTGACAAACATTTTTTTAAAGATATTGAACTAATTTTTTTATTTATACAGATTGATATACTTATATCTTAGACATTGAGTGTTAAGAGAAGCAGCTGACGTATTCGTTTTATTGTTACTCAATCGAAAACGTTTCATACTTTTTAAATAGTTGTTATAATAATATGCTTTATCACACACAATCAAAAACAAAAATGTATACAAAATGCGGCTTTAGTGCTAAGCAGCAATATCTTCCAAGCAACCTAGTGAGTTGTAGTAGAAAAACGTTGAAGATTATAAGGGTTACTGGGTGCAACAGTAAGAAGGACACAAGATATATCTTAATAAATGAAGTAAAATCGATATTTAAGGAGATAGAACTAAAATAGGAAAAGAAGTAACTTTTAATTCTATTGCCAAAAGAACTTAGTGAGCGAAATTTCCTGACATCCTTCATTCCATAAACACACAGCATGCACAGAAAAGAAATAGGAGAAAAACTTTAATAATTCGGCCTAGCTTTAAGTTCACAGCACGCATATTTTTTTTCCGACATCTTCATCAAATCACACACCAGTCAATTTAAATGCAACCTAAATGAAAAAAATCTGTTACTTATGTAACTGGTTACTAATATATGAAGGTATCTCATACAGACAGATACACAGATGTAGCGGGAGGACTTTATATCCTACCTACCTACCTAAAGATGACTATGTAATAAGCTAATTATTTTAATAAAGCTCCCATCTCTTATTTCACAGCTGATATGACTCTTCGCAAAGATTTGCACATGGACGATCCTGATGCAATCATAAGGCAATTAGCTGATTATCAAATGGTAAGAAGAGAATGTAATAGTTTAAAATTAGAAAGACTTAGTCTTTATAGAAAAACGGAGACTAAACTGCTTAGACTGCACAATCGTGAAATACGGCGACCCAGTAGATAAGTTACTGTAAAAATTAGCTCCGAAAGAGTTCTTGATTTGATTTAAAAATATCTCTTGATTTTAGCCTGATTTTCGGGAGAGTCAATTTGCTATTAATGTACGAGTAATTAAGATTAAAATTAAGTAGAAATGAATGTTGGTCATATGTTATCTGTGTGTGTTTGGTAATCAAGCAAGGACTAGGGGGACTAACCAATCGATTGCGGGGCCCTGGGCATGTGCCCATAATGCCTAGTGGAAGAGGGATCTGATCTTAATTTGTAATTAATTTTAAAGGAACCAGGTGAAACAAGTACCACAAACGTAAAGGATGATTACGAAGATATCCACCGCAAATACCCTGGAATATTTTGGGATACGGTAAGCATTTCTTTTGGCTCTCATACCAGTTTCAAGCTGCCACCATCAATGATACAGTATTAGATTCCCATTCTACATAATATATTTAAAAATCAGACATTTAAAAATAAGTAAAGTCAATTTATTTAATTACGGAGTTTTAAAGCGTCTGACAAAAGATCTGACTCATGGAAAGCGTCTGATTCTTTTAATTTTACTTCAGAATAACATTCTACATAATGTATTTAAAAATCAGACATTTAAAAATAAGTAAAGTAACGCTAATTTTTAGTTACCTTTGTCACCTGCCCAGGTGTCACCGAGCGAACTCTACAAGTACGCAGGTATTAAAAGTACATGTAGAGACTACTCGGAATCGAAAGTTCTATGCTTTTAAAAATAAGTCAGATCGCTCTGGGATCTTGGACTATTTGGCTGAATCAATTTTGACGCAGATTCAGAAATGTATTTTTAGTGTTACCTATTATACAAAAAAATATCAATATCACTAAAAAGCATGAAATAAAAAGTTAAAAATAGATCCGATTTCAAACTTAAAAAAGTCAAAAATAATACTTATCTCAAAAACGATTTATTCATGAAAATGCTAATGAAGTCGGGCGCCTATCATTTAATTGATAACCTACAGATAACCTCCGCCAATTTTAATAGCATTTTCTTGAAAAGTCGCTTTTTAGATAAGTAATAAATAAATTATGGTCATCTCCGGAAAAGCAGGCTGTAAGGCCAGCGTAAGGGTATCCAGCCAAAACCTAGAAAACGCATAGAAGCTTTCGAGATGTGGACTTAAAGGCGCATGCTTTCTATAAGCTGGACCGAGAAGGTGACCAATGTCCGAGTTCTCCAACGAGTTGGCCAAATCGCACGCTTACGGCAAATGTTAAACGGCGTAAAGTCTCGTATTTAGGCCATGTTCTTAGACATCAGAGATATGATCTCCTGCAGCTGATCATAATGGCAAAATTGCGGGAAAGAGAAAGGTCGGAGGAAGGAAGAAGTCGTGGTTGCGGAACATCCGAGAGTGGACTGGGATAGCGAGCGCTGCTGAGCCGAGCCGCCGAGCTAAAGACAGGAAAGATCTGGGGTTATCATCATCATCATCACTTCAGCCGAGTGACGCCCACTGCTGGGCATAGGCCTCCCCCAAAGATTTCCAAAGCGATCGGTCCTGCGCCTCCATCCAGCGGCTTCCCGCGACCTTTACCAGATCGTCGGTCCACCTTGTTGGGGGCCTATCAACACTGCGTCTCCCGGTACGCGGTCGCCACTCCAGGACCTTACCGCCCCAACGGCCGTCAGTCCTGCGAGCGATGTGCCCTGCCCACTGCCACTTGAGGTTCGCAATTCTTTGGGCTATGTCGGTGACTTTCGTTCTTCTGCGGATCTCATCGTTTTTGATTCGATCTCGCAAAGAAACCCCGAGCATAGCCCTTTCCATTGCCCTCTGGGCGACTTTGAGATTCCTTATGAGGCCCATCGTAAGCGGCCACGTCTCAGTACCGTATGTCATCACTGGCAACACGCACGAATTAAAGACTTTCGTCTTGAAACACTGCGGTAGATGTTCCGAGAATACACTGCGTAGCTTCCCGAACGCTGCCCAGCCGAGTTGGATCCGTCGATTTACCTCTCTCTGGAAGTTGGACTTACCTAATCGGACTATTTGTCCCAGGTAAACGTACTCGTCGACAGCTTCCAGTGTAGAGCCTCCAACATTCACTGGAGTGGGTACGACATGGGAGTTTGACATTATTTTTGTCTTCTCCATGTTCATTTTAAGACCCACTTGCTGGGAAACTCTACAGAGGTCTTCGAGCATTGTGCCTAGATCTTCCATGGTCTCAGCCATGACTACGATATCATCAGCGAAACGAAGGTGCGTCATGTACTCGCCGTTTATATTGATGCCAAGTCCTCTCCAGTCCAAAAGCTTAAACACGTCCTCCAGTGCGGCAGTGAACAGTTTCGGCGATATAACGTCGCCCTGTCTCACTCCACGATGCTGTCGTATTGCTTTCGAGTTTTGGTCCTGGATCCGAACTGTCATGGTGGCGTTTTCATACAGTGACTGCAGCACTTGGATGTATCGATAGTCTATTTGGCACCTCTGGAGTGACCTAAGCACGGCCCAGGTCTCGACGGAGTCGAAGGCTTTCTCATAGTCCACAAACGCCAAGCACAGTGGCAAATTATACTCCTCGATCTTCTGTATAACCTGTCGCAGCGTATGAATGTGGTCTATGGTACTGTAACCTTTTCGGAAACCGGCTTGTTCAGGAGGCTGGAAGTCATCAAATCTACGTGCGAGACGATTCGTGATGACACTCGAAAACAGCTTGTACACATGACTCAGAAACGTGATGGGTCTGTAATTCTTCAATTGGGTCCTGTCGCCCTTTTTGAAGAAAAGCACCACCACACCCCTGTCCGGCGTCTTGCCCTCGAGTATGGCGGAATTAAATAGCTTCTGAAACGCTTTCCGGACTGGTAGTCCACCCGCTTTCAGAAGTTCCGCTGTGATTCCATCATGCCCTGGCGCCTTGTTGTTCTTGAGCTGTTTGAGAGCCATACTTATCTCGTATAGACTGACCGGGATGTCTTCGGTATAATGTCGGGTTAATTTGGCTCTAGGGTCTGTAGCCTCAATGACAGGTTTCTGTGATGTTGTGTATAACTGTCCATAGAAGCGTTCGATCTCCGCCACAAGCTCAGGACGGGATGTAACGACTCTGCCGTCCTCTGTCTTTAGCTTCGTCAGCAAGCTTTGTCCGAGAGACAGATCTCTAGCGAACACTTTGGAGCCTTTATTCCGCTCAATCGCCTCCTTAATACATTGAGTATTAAATTGGCGTATGTCGCGTGTGAGAGACTTCGAGATCTGTCTATTGAGTTGCCGACGAGCATCCTCATAAGACTGCAGAACCATTTCACGCCTTTTTTCCATTAGCTTGCTTGTCTGATCCGAGATCTTGCTTCTTTTTTGTGTACGGCGAGGTCTAAGAAATTTTGAACACACCGTAAGGACAGCTTCTACGACCCTGTCATTGTATCCGAGCAGCTCTCCAGGCAATCGAAGCGGTTTTGAAGTTCGAGCTGAAAGTGTTCGGGGTCCCGGATCTGGGTGGCTTCAGGACGGAGTGTAGACTTCACCAGTCGATATCGTTCAGCTTTTACATTTAGATTCAATGCGCCTCTTGCCATACGGTGATCGCTTCCCGTATTAAACAAATTAATCACTGAGACGTCATTGAATATCCGAGTCTTAGTCGACATGATGAAGTCGATCTCGCTCACCATCCGGACTCTTCCAGGTCCACTTTCGATGCAACCGTTTTTTGAAGAAGGAGTTCATCATATAGAGTCCTTCCCTCTCCATGTAGTCGGCTAGCATTTGACCACGGTGATTCCGGATCCCAGATCCAGCCCCACCTTCAACTCCTCATCGCCACGCTTGCCTAGCCTTGCGTTGAAGTCTCCCATGACAACAGTGTAGTGGGTCGTGGAACCATGTATTGCCCGGGAAATGTCCTCATACGGTGCTTCCACTTCCTCGTCGGGGTGCGTCGAGGTCGGGGCGTAAACCTGTATGACTTTCAGCGAATACCGTTCGGTGATTCTGAGTATAAGGTACGCCACCCTATCCGATACACTTCCGATCTGTACAATATTGTTCACGAGAGACTTGTGGACGATAAACCCGACACCACCTTGGGACAGATCTTCGCCCTCCCGGAAATAGAGCAGGTTACCGGATTTAAGGATCATCGTATCCTCGCCCTCTCTTCGGACTTCGGATAACCCTACAATACTCCAACGAATCCTGCCCAATTCCTTCTCTAGTCCCAGCAGCTTCTCCTCGGTCCGCAGTGTGCGTGCGTTGTAGGTTGCCAGGGCCAAGGTCGTTTGACGGGGGATCTTTGCCGCCCGGGGATTCTTCGCACCCCTGGTGCCTTCGCCGAGTAGGCTTCCGTGCGCGCCAGCACGGCTTACGGCACCGCCGGGCACTCGGGGCCTTTCGTTTGGGTCTATTTTTAAATCTTTGAAGGGTTTTGGGCCATCTCCCACCACGCTGGCCCAATGCGGGTTGGTGGGGAGGGGTAGATCTGGGGTGCGACCGCCTAACTCATGGACGTAGCCGTAGTCATAGCTATAACCTACGCTTTATAGGTTTTACACATGAATCTGTTGATATTGTTTTAAAATTAATCATTTTTTATTATTTACATATTTAATCAATGCTTTTAGTTGGTTTTGTTTGCTGAATTATTAAAGTTAAACGAAATTTACAAAATGTCGAATTGATACAAACAATGCTATTTCGAAAAGAAAAACAAACCAAAATGCTTAATAAAATATATAAATAAAAAAGACAATTAATTTTATAAGAATATAAACAGATTCATAAGAAATATCGATAAAGCGTAGGTTATAGCTACGACTACGGCTACGTCCATGAGTTAGGCGGTCGGCCCCCAACATGCTAATCGCTAACCTTCACTAGTTGGAGAGGCACCTTTAGAAGAAGAATATTTAAAGTAATATTTTAATTTTTTTTTAAGATTGAAGTCGAATATGTTTTTTGTATAAAGAAAGGAATTTAAGGATTTCATACTATGAAACATTTGGATAATCGTACATACGCGCCGAATCAACAGAAATTTAATGCCATTCAGTTATAGATAGATGATAAAAAAAACATCGTTTTGTCCGTCTACTTCGGCTCTGACTTAATGCGCACAAAGCCAAATAGTCGGGTCGCTCAATTAAAAATATATATATATACAAATGACTAATGGGTAAAGCTCGAAGATCGAAATCGCTTATTGAACGAAAAAATAGATCACAACGCGTTGTAGCAAACAGAACATCCACAAAGCGAAATTCGTGTTATGGCTGTAATGGAAACGCTCACGACGCGTTGTGGCAATCGCAGAATAACCACATAGTGAAATTCGTGTCCGTACAATGCCGGATTAGCCATGTAGCAAAAGTAGTAAATGTGACGGGCTCCGCGCAATTGCGAGTCTCGTTATGGTCTGATAAATAAATGAATTTTCCCCCAGTATTAAAAAAACATATTTTTAACATATTTATATTTTTAAGTATAAACATAAACTGTCAAATAAAACTCACACACAGATTAGTTTTATTGTGTGATTCGGAAAGCAAAGGACGACTTTTCTGTTTCGTTTGCAAAGTTACTGATTCCGATTATTCATTATCAATGGGCGATTGTGATCTTTGAGTAATATATACACATGGGTATCGCTAAGGCGCAGCAGGCGGGCAGCTGCCTCCCCTCCCCCCCCCCCCCTAGAGATTCTAAAAAAGTTGCTTATCGTAAAGCAACCAAAGTCCCGTCTTTGAATTAACTTGCTTGATCAATCATTCCCGTACGTCGAAACTGGAATGAACTTACTACTTCTATTCCTACACGCAACTACGCTCTTCCAAGCTATTTTTAAAGTGGGAGAAGGGGACTACTGATATTTTATTCAGAAGTTTTATTTTTTTCTACAAGCGCTCGTATAACTTTACAAGTCGGACTCTGTACTGTTATTACAATTAGATGTAGGCTCATACTACAAGCTTTATGCTCTCGACTTTAGACACAATTCATATTTAGCTCATTCTACATAATCAACTTACAGCTAAAAACTTTTACTTTTCAGGTAACTACAGATAATTACGATGAAGCTTTCATTAAATTGAAAAGTATAATTCAAAATATTGTTAATTCTCAGCCTCATTTAAAACCTATGTTTGATATAGACTTTGTCAACCGCCCTCATTATACTGCCGTGGAAAGTAGACTCAACAGCATTTGTAAACAAATAGCTCCACAAAGACTGTTCTATTAAAACTATGAATAAAAAATCAGAATGTTTTATTTTGTTATACATAAGGAAATTAGTCTAATACAGTCAAGGAATGAAAAGACTTATATAAAGAAATTAAACTTCAATATATTTGTGTCCTACAACTCATAAAGTAGCAACAATGACTTGCAATCATGAGTGTAGTATGCTGGCCTGTAGAGTATTCTGTTATTCCAGATCTAAATTACTCATTTAGATAATGGAACTCTAGTTAGATATGAATTTTAAGGAGAGAAATAAATATGAAAATATTGTTACAAGTGAACTATGCATTTTTCATTCCTTTACCATATTTATGTAGGTACACATACAGTACACAAAACTTAAAATGGATTTCTTAATTGTTGCTAGTCTTAACATTTTAAAATACAAAATACTTCATCCAAAGATCATTTAAACACCATGGTATCCAGCATTGCTCCAAGACATTGTACTATGTTGTTTGACATCAGTACATCTACTTTCTCTTCTAAATGCCTTTTGGGGTCTTGTTTGCCAACATTCTTGATAGCCAACTGCTCAGGGGTCATTTTCTCTTCATCTTCTAATGCCTTATTGTAGTTTTTAGCTAGATCAAGCATATCTGTTACCGTTGTCTCATTGATGGAACAGTGTTCTTTATAATCTGATAAAGTCAGCCCGTCCATCCAAGACTTTTTATGAAGATTCAACAACATCTTTTGTTCTAGCTCATTCTTCCTGTAATTTATACTGATGGAATAATAATGACGATTCAGTCCATGAATTAGAGCTTGCACTGAAGGTTTTTGTAAATGTCCCAAGTTGGATGTTGTCTGCCTTGGCTCTTGACCAAGAACCATCATGTTTGGGTTGATCAGTCTGAATGCATCAATCACAACTTTACCTTTAACTGACTGTATGGGATCAACCACCACTGCCACAGCTCGTTCAGATAGAGCTTCAAATGATTGTTGTGTGTTGATATCAACTCCAGACAACCAACATCCAAACCCAGGGTGAGAATGATACCTGCAACAACAAAACAACATGACATGATTCAAAAAATGTTAATTCTAAAAATCAAAAATTTTATTTTGAATTATTGATAGAAAAAAAATATTTGGAGCCAAATTTAGTGAACAAGATATTTTAAAACATATTGAGTTAAGGGGATGTAGTACAATTACAGTGACCTTATTGTTTTATTATAGTATTTTTATAGCTCAAATGTGCATAGTAACATGTGCATTAATATGTTAATATCTTTTTTGCATACAGTATACATGCAAAGTTAGATAAAAGTTGTTAACACAATGTGAAAATGTTATTAAAAAATTATTAGAAATATACTAACCATCCTACGACCATCTCAGGTCGTCCAGTTTGCTTCAACATATCCAACATCTTTGCCTGGAAGACAGGATCAACAGCTTCAACAGAGACTCCTGTTCCCGTTTGAGGCATAGCAAATACATCTATAACACGCACTGTGTAATCGTCAACAAATTCACCTGAAACAAAATGTTTTAATCTAATGAATTTAGAAGAATGATGATATCATCTCATCATAGAAAATTACAGTGAAAATGTATGATCAATCTAGCTTGTGTAATTGTAAAGAACGTACCCAGCATTAGACCCATAACTTCCATGGGTACACCAGCTCGACCATGTTTTAACATCTTCAGAAGAGCCAGTGACGATATGTATACCTGTTCCGCAGTATCTACAACAGGAGCATCAGTAGGAGGAGGTGCTTGTGATAAACCTGGCACTCCACCACCAAGACGTAGAAGACGATCCATGTTTAAATATTTCGAAGTACTAGAACTGACAATAAAATTGAATATAAAAATATATCACATTATAAGAAAAGATTGCATTTATTAGTGAATTCTTATGAATTTTGAACGTTAATTTTACTTACAATCAATATATCTTTATTTGTATCTTGTAAAAATTACCACAAATTGCCAAAACTTGACGAAATTTATGAATAAACGCGATCTGACAAATCACACTTCAAGTGACATTTTACGTCGAAAATGCAAGCTCATTAAGGACACATTCAGAGAACATAAATTGTAGGCTTTGGAAATGATCACATATTGTATTTAGTGGTAAAATGTAGATATATTCAATTTAATTTCATTAGCTTCTGTAGTTAAATCTCTAACTAAATTTTTCAGTATTAGTCATTTAAATTTTAGCATCTGTGGTGTTATCTTTCGCCCACTTTTTTTAACAAAATTAATTAATTTAATAATGGTCTGTAGTTAGACTCAATATGATTATGTTTAAATCATTGTTTTTATAAAATTTCTTAATTAAAGTATTAAAATCGTCTAACGTGTTATTTTTGGTAAATCTATGTAGAAAGATTAAATTGGTAATTCAAAATTGTTTAGTTGAATAAATGTATTTTAATCGTGTAATGGTCTCCTACGTGAAGTTGGCAGTAATGTGGTAATGTAAAGTGCCATTAAAGTTAAGAAGAAGAAGAAGTGAACTTAGTATATACCTAATATATACTTTTACTCTTTAGGTGGGACTGTCGATGCGGCCATATGAACAGTATTTATTTATCGTAGTTATATAAATAAATAGGCATGTAAGTGTTTTTTGTATCGAAAAGGCTTTGAAATTACTAGACTGATTTTTAAAAATTCATTTGCTTACGAGTAGCTTCTTTATAGGCGGATGACGTAGGCTAAACTAGTTTTATAGCGCGAGTCTGATTATGGTCCTTGGCACTAAAAAGACGCTATTATAAATTAATAATTGTTTAATAAAACTTAAATATAATTAAAATAACTAAACTGTAATCTTTGCAAAACAATTAAGAAATATTTAAAAAAACGAAAGCACTACAAAAATACCTTCACTAGATGGCGACCCTAGCAAAAGTTGATTTTTGTAGGAAACGAATGGACCAAAGACAGTCATTTCCGTTCCTTTTAACTAAGATATAAAAAAACTGAAATTTGAAAAGTTCGAAACTTAGACATCAATACAAATACGAAAAAGTACAAATAGAATATGAGGTGTTTATTGAGTTTTGAAAACTAATTTACTTTTAAACATGAAAGAAACCGGAAGGGTTGTCATGGAGGAATCAAGAATGCACCGTAGCGACATCTAGTTTGATTTCAGAAACTAATGATTTTTTTTTAATACTTCCTCATTTTGTAGTTGCTTGCTTGTAAAATGTTGTTTAAATTAGTTTTCAAAACTCAATAAACAACTCAAATTCTATTTCTACTTTTTTTTAAATTATGATTTATTGATATCTAAGTTTCGAACTTTGCAAAGAACAATGGTCAAAATGGACTACGAAAAAAAAGTTCTTGTACCAAGATGGAACTATAACCAAAATGTAGTATAAGTTGAATGTAATTATTATATACCAACAATTTATTTTTAAAAGCTGGGAAAAGAAAGATAATCCTCTCTAAAATATGTCTTTATTTTTTAAAACGCAGTTTAAATTATGTTATTTTTGAACGCATCTTATTAATATTGTCATTCCTAGAGAAGTCCCTCTCTTTTCAAAGAACAAGATCGATTTTATTTCTGACTAATCGAATTTGATACAAATCTTATATTATTTACTAACCATATAAATCCGTGAAAATTATATTATATTAAGAGGAAAATAGTTTATTTATAATGAAATTAAAAACTAATGATTATTCATAAGAATCGATATTACAGTATTGCGATGCGTCCCTTTTTTAGACAAGTATGTGTAGACGTGTTTCTACGCAGACCGTTTTGTAACTTTGGCGGTGTATTATTGTGTATTATCTTCTGTATTATGGGGAGTATACTAGGTTCCATGGGCAGTATAGAATTGAGGTCTGGAGAGAAATACCGGATTCTCTGGATTTATTAGAATTAGACTTAAATATAAATAAAGTCCTAATTATAAAGGGTAGAATTAAGTCGAGACATTGGGAGGAAACAATATTAAGTGTACATTTTAAAAATAATGACACATCCGGGTTAGATGGCATAAGAGAACACTGCTGTAATTGTCTTATTGGTCGATGTACACTGGGATGCTGTGCTCATATAATGACCATAGTTTGGTATCTTGGATGGGCCAGACACGAACAGAATGTAGCTGCTCCTGCCGTATTCCGTGATGAGGTATTCATTAGAGTTGTAATAAAGAAAAGAAAAATCAACATGTTGTTTTGCTATATCCTTTTGAAATTAGTATTTTCACAATTACTTTAAATAAGTTATAGTGTAAGATAGAAAATTAGAGATATTGTGAGCAATCTTAAAAATTCTATTATTTTTTTTCTGATGTTCATTGGTTCACAAAAAATTATTTTATTTCTTACAGTCTATAAAAATAATATATCATATAAATAATAATATAAAGTATGCACTTCTAGGACTACGATTAAGCATTATCTGACGTGTGCTTTACATATTTCAACTGTAATACCTCTAACTCAAAATGCTACAGTTTAAATAATACGACATAACCTCAAAACATATTACACAATTACTGGATACTTCCAGCTTTTAAAAATATATTTAATGTCATTCTTTGTTCTAGTTGCATAGGCAAACAAAATAACATGTTTCATCAAGTTACGTTTTATTCTATTTTACTAGTCCAAGCAAGTTAGGTTAAGCATTATCTGACGTGTGCTTTACATATTTCAACTGTAATACCTCTAACTCAAAATGCTACAGTTTAAATAATACGACATAACCTCAAAACATATTACACAATTACTGGATACTTCCAGCTTTTAAAAATATATTTAATGTCATTCTTTGTTCTAGTTGCATAGGCAAACAAAATAACATATGTTTCATCAAGTTACGTTTTATTCTATTTTACTAGTCCAAGCATGTTAGGCAGATGGCCATTGTTCTTTCAGTTTTTTAATATGTTAAAAGAAACGGAAATTACTGTCTTAGGTCTATTTTTTTCCTGCAATAATCAACTTTTTCTAGAGTCGCCATCTAATGGAGGTGCTCTTTTTTTTAAGACTTTCTCATTACTTTGCACATAACCAACCGTTGTCATGTACACACAATGGCTGTATATGCTTAGTTCCATTCGTATTCGAAAAAAAAACTATCCAAGAAATGTCAATGTCATTAATTATCAGATGTTTTTACAGTGGTATTGCCGTGTATTAAAAAGAAGATTGGTAACCATCTCGGCTATCAATTGCTGATATTACTATTATCATACGAAAACCTAATATAAATTGTTATTTTAAAATCTTCTTTAAGGACTTGATAGAAATGACAGAAAAGTCAGTATTACCTCCGAAGTTTTCCGAAGGACCATTTGGCTTAGGTGATGTTCACAAACTTACACCAGCAGTTGCATAAAATACAAAAATTAACATCAATTTTATTTGCAGGCGATCCTGATGATAAAACATTGCGAAAAGTAGAGATCGAAGTTATGATTCCTAAAATAATGAGAGAGAAAGCAAAAACTGAGAAGTGCACAAAAGAAGTATTAGATTTTGAAAAATGTTGCAAAGAAGCATCATTATTAATGGTAGTCAAATGTAGAAAACAAAATTTGGCATTAAAGGAATGCTTAGGATCCTGGTACAAAAATGATGAATTTAGACAACAATGTACTGAAGAATATTTGAAGCAGAGAACTGAATATAGAAAAACTGGCATCAAGAAATCTATGAAAAGAGTTTAGAATTAGATATAATGTTGTTATTAATCAATATTTCTCGAGTAGTGTAAATACAAAAACCTGTTTAATCATCATTGTTTATTGCAAATGGATTTTTTCTTGACAATATTATCTCCCTTACGTTGTATGCACTTAGGTTTTCAGGAATTTCTGCCAAATTTTCATCAGATTTAGAAACTTCAACCATTAAAACCTCCTGAAAAAATATTATTATTGACACAATAATGTTTGAGATTAAGATTACTGTTAATAAGATCTTAACATATTATAAGTGAAATAACTTTAAAGCGTTTCATCACATTTGTATTAGCTATACTCTTAATTTATAAGATAATCAACATTAGTCTATAAAATATGAAATCAATCACTACATATTTTTTTGATTGCATACTTACTTTTACTGTTGTTGTTGCCATTCGAACGTGGCATAAAACAGACACCCAATCCAATTTTTGTATGTTATTTCTAATCACAATTATATAGTCTGCATGTGCAATTGAAGGAACCTCTTTATATATCACTAAAACAACAGACAAAACAAAAAAAAACAGATGTCAATCCTATTTACATGACCACTTAAATATTGTTAGAATGGACTAGTAATTCTACTATGAATAACAACTAAATACTTTCTGGATCCATTTCAGAAATAATGTTAATATAATATCATCTACATAACATAGATATATCCAAATTTTAAAATAATCAAACTTACAATAATCTCCACCAAATTTAACTCCGGGTTTCACTATATAACCTTTGGATCGGTAATAATGATAAACTACATATTTATTAATAAATCGCTTCTCAGTTTTCATAAAGAGTTCCCAGAGTTGATCAGTACTTAATGCTTTTTCTTCATTATTTAGAATCTGTAAACAACCCAGTCCATATGATAAGAAGAATGCCTCTTCAAGTGTTAACATCAACTTCTCTTGTATTTTAATTTTATTCACACAACACTCTGGTCTCAATTTCTCAAAGTAATTGTCTTCTTCAGAATCACTATTAGGCACTATTACAACCAAATCTTGTTTATCCCATGTATCTAATAACACTGGATGATCAATGTTTTGTGCACCTTCTGAGTGTACACTTTCACCTTCATCACTAGACACTAAATCAATAACATCTCTTTTTCTACTATTGCTACTGTCCTTAATTATATTTGCTGTAATTTCATCAATATCTCTAAAAAACGTGTCTGAATCAGAATTATCCAATCTTTGGTCAAATTTCTTATGCCAATCATTTCGTTTCAAGAATTGCCTCTTACGCATAATACACGGGCAATTATTTTGTGACATTTTAGGTTTAGAACGAGACAAGGATCCTTTACCAAAGCAACCCATATGATGTAACATAGCCATTTCCTCTGGAGATCTTACTTCAACATTAAAACCATTGTAATATCCTGTAAATATAATTCGCATGGTACTGTCTAAGGGAAACCTTAATGATTCAATTGCTATCGGAAATAAGTTATTTGGGTCATTAGCTTGACAATCCTCTGATTGCAAGGTAGTCATAGTGTGTCACAAAAGAACTGGCCAGTTTCCAAATTTATTTACAGCGAAATGTGTCACGTCACTGTTCTGAGTGAAAGCACAAAATTTAACGAAACTGCAACAAAAACATTAACAATAGATCAATTATGAATCACTAAAACTAAGGTGAAAAATGGATAAGGCAACGCAAGCGACAGTTACTGAAGAAAAATATGATCGTAAGTACAACACTCCCTTTCTGGATCTTATATTAAATTTAAATCACCAAGTATAATTTTGAACCGTTTAATTTAAAAATTACAAAAAAAATATTGGTTCGGAACTAAAATAAGAAAATAACAATGAAAAAACTAGAACGTAGTGTGCCTATTATTAATTAAACAAGCGTTTAATCGCTTTATGGTAGATTTGCTTGCAACCATGTTTTCAACCTTTGCATTTTGTTTTTGTGGGCTTGTAAGGCCATTCACAGACATGTTTGCATTACAAATGCAATTAGATGCCAAAAATCATGATTTTATTTAGTTAGCTTCTACCAAAATCACTATAAATAATTATAATAATATACTTTCTTTGTTAATAATATAATAATAAACTTGCCGTTTAATGTTTCAATTGGTTTCCGAACATAGAATATTTTATAATAAAGATACGTTTCTGGACGACATAGCTAAATGTCAAATGTCATAATTTATGTGTTGGCATTACTGTAGGCTACGTAAGTGTTGACAACATAAATGCTAAACATGTTGTCTTCTTCTTTTCTAGGTCGTCGGGTGTTTATTAGAGAAGGTAAGCGATATTTTCACAATCAAAATAGGCAACTTCTGACAATGTAGTCACAAGACCTCTCAGCTGAGGTTGTCTGTCTCCCTGTTTCGATTTTCTGAATTTATTGAGTCTAAAGTTGATTCCAAGCTTATATCCAAACACAATCTAGCCAAAATGGCTAATATCAACGATGAAAATGTTAGCAAACTAATCCCAACGCTGGGTGACGAGAAAATTGGTAAGTGATAAACTTGAACGATTTTGTTTATGTCTTACACTGACTTTCATGCATAAAGTATTTTATTTATATTGTTAGATATGATTGCCGCCACCAGCGTATTGCAAATTCGGGCAAGTGAAATTCGCCAATCTCAAATCAATTGGCAATCATACTTGCAGTAAGTATTGATCTTACGTGACGTCATAAAACTTTTAAAATATTCCTTCTATTGTAAAGTTTTATATGATATGATAGGTCTCAAATGATCACGCAGCGTGATCACGACTTTATCGTAAACTTGGATCAACGCGGTCAAAAGGATCTGCCTGATAAGAACCCTGAAGTATGTGCTGAAGTGTTCCTAAACCTGCTCACCCATATCAGCAAGGACCATACCATTCAATATGTGCTCGTGTTAATTGACGACATTCTTTCGGTATGTGAATTATTCTAGATACTAAATGCTTACATATAAGAAACATAACTATTGTGTAGTTATACTGAGCTCTGTTCTCAACATCCCAATGAGCAACTATACTACACTTATGTTAATATTAATATAATATATTAATTATTACAACAGCTAGTGTTGTGTAACTTTATGAAATTTATCAAAGAAAACTCTTGTGTTCTACAGGAAGATAAGACTAGAGTGAAGATATTTAGAGAAAATAGGTTGTCTATGGGGAATGTATGGCAACCATTCCTAAACCTTCTGAACCGTCAGGATGAGTTTGTGCAGCATATGACTGCCCGTATCATCGCCAAGCTGGCTTGCTGGCACCCTCAGCTCATGGACAAGAGTGACCTGCACTTTTATCTTTCGTGGTTGAAAGACCAGCTCAAGTCTAATGTAAGATAACATGAGCATTTTTATACATTTATAGTGTAAACTTTTGTTTTACCAAATGTTCAAACAGTGCATGGTGTATTATTGAATTCATAGTAGTATTTGCATGGATGTTTATCGATATGATTTCTATTTATTTTTGTGATGTCATGCTGGGATCATCATTATAGTTACACAATCATTAATGCTTGCTGTTTTTAGTTTGATATTTTATTGTTAAATGATTGAATTGACATTAATTTCAGTTATTTTAAACTGTGTAAGAAACTTTGAAACATCTTGTAGGTGAAGGGTATATATATATGTTGACATTTATGATCATTTCTTTATTTTAGTAAACAATCTTTATCTATCCTTAAATTTTTCATATAAATAAATCAAGTATAATTTAGTCTACTTATGGTAATCATAATTTGTTTATCCTTTTCTCAATTATTGAATTGGGTTTAGCAAAATATGTATTCTGTTTCTGTACTTTTGATGTTAGATAATATTGGAAATATTCATCATATTCAAATATCTTTTTCTTTTATACATTCCTTTATTTTAAATTTTTGTTGTTTGTATAATATTCTCTTGTTTTTCATTGGAATAAGGCAATATTATTATAATCATGAAAGTATAAAGAATGTTTACTATGTATAATTATGGAATAATGCATCCAGACTATGAGCTGGGGAATAATAGTTATTCTATTTATATTATTGATATTTTTACACAAGATTGCGTTTTACAAAAAAGCATTTTTGTATATATTTTTAATAAAGTTCTCACAGCAATATATCAGACTAAGCCACAGGGAAAGGTTGTATGATTTTATAACAATATAAAAACGATTATATAATTCACATATTCAATACTATTGACATAATATAACAGCATTATGGAGTCTGGATGCAGTATATGATCATTTTTTATGTGTATTGTGTGTGTGCGTGCGTGTGTGTCTGAAACAGCAAGACCGATAGAAAATGGTTTCCTTACAAATATACACATGATACTAACCATACATAACATTTAATTAACCAGTTCGTCTAAAGTAGTAAATTTACCAAAAATAATCTTAGACATTTGTACCTTGCAAGTAATAAGATTAATTTATACAACTACTCGTTGAAGGAGCGCCTATTAAAATATTAAACAATAAAGAATGGGACGCCGCCTTTAGCGCACTTTGCCCCACTTATTAATCTTTGCAGCCAAATTGCAATATGCCATTCATAAGACCTCTAATGCTGCGTTCAGACAAGGGTTTGAAGAATATTAAATAACAAAATACCACAAGTAATGACAGAATAGATAACAATTCAAGTCAATAGTAGTCCTAGTGTGTCCTCTGGTTACTAGAGAGCGGCGACCACGCCATCGTCAAATTTCTACGCCAGACTGCCATATACTACTATACTTAATTATGGTGTGAGACTCTGGGGGAATAGCACAGACGCACCAGACCTGTTAATTTTGCAAAAGAAATGAATCCGCGTTCTAACAAATATTGAACAAACTTATAGTTGCAAACCACATTTTAGAAATTTAAATATACTTACCCTACCGTGTATCTACATATTACAAATTTGTACTGTATTTGTACAAAACAGGAGATGTTCCTTGTCATAATACGGCACGCTATTAAAATAACCTAAGCCAAATACCTTCTAAGTTAACTTTACACAGTTCCGGAACTTATAAAATGTCAATTAAAATTTATAATAAATTACCTGAATAACGAAACAACATACACTCTATTTATAAGAATGCTAAAGAATATACTATTAAATAAATGCTATTATACAGTGAATGAATATTTGAATGAAAAGTTTTAGATAAAATGGAATGTTTGACCCTCTTCTTTCCATATTTCTATATTTTCATGCCTATCAAGGCGCATGTGAATATATTTATGTATTTAGTTTCTAAGTCACATGTTTGCGATGAAATGAAATAAATAAATAAATCTTACACTAGTCACCGCAATATACGTAAAAGTTTGATTGCTGTAAAATATTTATGAACTACCAAAATATCCATCGTGTGTAGCACCCTAAATATGACAGAGCGCTAGAGGAGGCGTCCTATTCCGACGTTTTATTGCCTCGCGGCGTTTCGCGTGCAGCAAATTTATATATTACTAAAATATACACTAATATTTAAATTTTATATATCTTGTATAATTTTGAATTATATGGTGTTGTAATGGTTGAACTAACCTCATTTTGTCAATGCTTAAAAATATATTTAAATGGGTACAAATTATTTTTCTAAATTCAATATCATAGAACTCTAATTGTATACCAAACTTATAATAATCTTGTCGTCTCCGATGGATCAATGTAAATTTGAAAATGCTACACAAATCATAACTGCTCTAAATTAATATTATGCAACTTAATCTGCTTGTGACCTCTAAACTAGTGAAAACATTAACAATCCTTTGTGGACATCACGCATCATGGGGAATCTATGACGGTACTGTCGACTGAAAGGTTTGTTTTCTGGCAAGGCGGAGAAAATGTCTGCCGAGTTAGAACAGGCTGAGCAGGTTATGTTGGAGCATGAGAAACAAAATTTCGCCGATAAACCTAATAAACACCAACATCTACACAAGAATAAGAACACTGACGATGCTCAGGAGAAGTACTCGAGCCTTTACAGTTCATTTGATGAATTGAAACCCCATGAGGAATTACCACCAAGTCTCCATAAGGTACTCCTGTGTCCGACATAAAAAAATCACTGTGTTTAAACAAATTTTTGTTGTAGATTAGGATAAATGCCTAACTCAATGTGAAAATTACTAAAAGCTTGATTACTTAGTATATATTTAGTTATTAACTTATCTTTTTACAAATATCTTATGCCACCACTTAACATATTTAACCAAGAAGCGCATGCTTGCCAGCTGACCGGATTTCACTAACGCCAATCGTTTACCTATTGTTGTATGGTTGAGGGAATTTATTTGATTCTTTTAGTGACAACACTTTTGCTCGGAGGTGTTTCAATGTAGCTTTATTCGTCCGTGTTAGCTTTAGTTATTACAGTTGTTTTAGTTGTTATTTGTAGCTCGGAATCGGAGACAAATAAATGCAAAACGTACAAGTACGTATATCTCACACCAACTTCGATTCACAGCAAAGAATCGCAATGTTAATTGTGTGTTTTTTCTTGTGGCCTTAATGACTCCTGAGTCCTGAAGTCTAAAGTACTTTAACCGTTTAAGGACTGGAACCAGGTCATTTAATGGGTAAGGCAACTGGTCAGATTGTAGAATGTACGTTGTTTGATCCCGGCTCACTATACGATACATATCCTATAATAATTATAAGTTAAGTTTAAGTTAGTTTTTTACATTATACTTCATACTACATTTCTTTATACACAAAAGAAAAGTTGATGGTGTGTATCGTCGTAAAAAAATCACGAAAATATCTATCTGATTTGGATAATTTATGTCATCAAATGGTATAACTTTTTTGCTTAGTCTCAATTATTATATATATAATGTATAATATAATTCCGATAAATCCACAGAGAAATAGTACATTTCCTTAAGCAACTAACTAATGAAATGAAGGCTGACAAAACATGTTTAACACTTTTGCTTATGTGAACAGAACAATGACTACATCCAGTCAGTAGCTCGCTGTCTACAAATGATGTTGCGTATCGACGAGTACCGCTTCGCTTTCCTCTCCGTCGATGGCATCTCCACGCTGCTGTCCATCCTGGCTTCTAGAGTCAACTTCCAGGTAACATTAAAAAATAAAATAACACATAGCCATATACATTATTATGATCTGAAAACAAACAGCTACACTTATGAGCGTAGCCAGAATATTGTGAAGAGAGGAGAAAAAATATTATATGTACTCGCTGAAAACGTTCTACCACCGCATAAGCACCTCCCGCTTCGCACCTTATAAGTTCGAATTGAACCCAATTAAAATTGGGTTTTTTATTATTATTTTACTCTTAGGTACACCTAGCCAAGCTAGATGTGAGCTGTTCATGCCTTCATACGAATTTATTGTAAACATAATACTCTGTTTTTCAAAATCCAGTTCTATATCAATACAAATCCATTTCTTTCTTTCTGTTTAATTACAACTGATGTTTGCAGGTGCAATACCAACTAGTGTTCTGCCTATGGGTGCTCACGTTCAACCCTCTGTTGGCTGAGAAGATGAATAAGTTCAATGCTATCCCCATCCTTGCCGATATTCTGAGTGACTCAGTCAAGGAGAAAGTCACGCGTATTGTACTGGCCGTTTTCCGCAATCTAATCGAGAAACCTGAAGACTCCCAGGTATGTTGCTAATAAATTAAAGAACATTTCTCATTTGTATTAATTACCTTTTAAAAATGTAGAATTTTCATTATTTATTATTAATAATGGGTGTAATATTATAGTACACAACTAAAGTTAGATGGGTGTTTCATGAGTTCAGAAAAAATATATGGTTTCAAGGCGCGTTATTGACATGTGATGATAAGACTCAAATAGATGGGCGACTACACATGACATAGGCATACCTGCGAGTGTTTTTATTAATTTATATTTTTTATTAATCATAACTTTAACAGGTGGCAAAAGAACACTGCATCGCCATGGTGCAGTGCAAGGTGTTGAAACAGCTGTCCATCTTGGAACAAAAGCGATCAGATGACGAAGATATCATGAATGACGTGGAATTTCTAAATGAACGCCTCCAAGCATCCGTCCAGGACTTGAGCTCGTTTGACCAATATGCTACTGAAGTAAAGAGTGGACGGTAAGTCTTTATAACAATTGTCGTTGTTTAAATGTTACCTCTATAATGTATGTCGAGCTATCTATAATTTATTATTTTAAACAACACGCTTTTTTCCATATAATAAATGTATAATTTCGGTGTGAAAGTGTGAATAGATATATAGATGTCCAAATGATTATCTTCTGCAATATACTAATAATAATATAATGGATCATGAGTAGTTCACAGATGTTAGTAAACAAGAACCTACTTATGGATTTCCAACAAATACCGAAAACGATACTTGTTTATATGTTTTTTTTTTTTATATTTCCGAATGATTACGAATTATTCGATATCAACTAGGTATAGATATATAATATTAGGTGACATAATTGACTATTTCAGATACCAATTTGCTTGACAATCATCCTATTTTATTTATCAAATTACTTATCAACAAAAAATATTAGCATTACGAATGATTTTGACTAATCACTACAAAAATAAATAGCTCACATAATTTTGCAACAGTTTATTATAAGATTTTTCAATTTTTTTTAACTCTGTTATTTAACACGTTTTGAACAAAATTGTTAGGTGCTTTGCCAGTTGACATAATAATGTTATTTTAAGGCTTATTATTTATTAGTAGTATAGAAAAGACAACAAAAACTTTTTTATCGCAAAATCTAAAATTTTAAACCCATTTCACAGTTATATCGTACTATAAAGTTGATCTGTCAGAACACATTCTTTGAATGGAAAATTAACAATATTATCATATGGAGTAAATGGTGTTACTTAGGTTTTAGCCATTGTTGATGACATACTTATAACGTGTATCCAAATATAAATGAATATTTGTTATAGAACAAATGTTTAATATTTTGTACCGGACAATATTTGTCGTATGCTATTACATATTTCTGATTTTTTATGTTTAGATATAATATCAAACTAGCTTTTGCCCGCGACTTTGTCCGCGTGGTAAAGTTACTTTAAGCAGCATTTCTAACGAATATTTATTCGTTATATCGTATAAAATACCTGAAATAAAGTTTCATCCCTTATTTTATCCCCTTAGGCGTGGAATTATAAAAATACTTTCTTAGGGGACGCCTACGTCGTAGAAGCTTTATGCATGCAAAGTATCAGCCCGATCGATTTAAAATTGACTAAGTTTCATACAAGCTTTCATCCCCCTATTTTATCCCTTTGGGGATAGAATTGATCGAAATCTTTTCTTAGCGGATGCCTACGTGATGACATGTACCTGCATGCCAAATTTTTGTTTGTTTGGGCTGTGCGTTGATAGATCACTATGTCAGTCAGTCACCTTTGAGTCATATATATTTAGATAGCAACTGTTAAATGTGATAATCAAAATATATATCTTTCAGCCTCGAATGGTCGCCAGTTCACAAATCGGCCAAGTTCTGGCGTGAAAATGCGGCGCGCCTGAACGAGCGCGGACAAGAACTCCTGCGGACGCTGGTTCACCTCCTAGAGAAGAGCCGTGACCCCGTAGTATTGGCTGTAGCATGCTACGACGTAGGCGAATACGTGCGCCACTACCCGCGAGGAAAACAGTATGTATCATCCTAAGCTTTATCGGTGGTTCTCAACCTTTTTGGCTGACGCGCAAAATATATTTATTATTATTATACTCTTTATTGCACACAAAAAACATTCATAACAGTGTTAAGTAACCACAAAAAAAGGGGTTATCTTTACTAGAGATCTAAACATATTCGGCTATTTCACTGTTATGGGAACATATTTTAAAACCTTCATATGATATGATCGTATGATTAACCACAATTCTGTTCTTGTAATCCCATAGATTTACAACCACCACAATTTATTTTAAAACAAAAATATTAATATTTTTTTTGTTGGCTTAATAAGCTTAATAAGCCATAATAGATTTTTTAACGAAAGCTTAATAACTTTAAACTTAAGTACTATATCAATTGCCCACTGACAATGCGCTAATGTGTGAACATTTCTTTACTTCAACAGCATCATCGAGCAACTGGGAGGGAAACAACGAGTTATGTACCTACTCAGTCATGAAGACCCTAACGTTAGATACGAAGCCCTATTAGCCGTACAGAAACTAATGGTTCATAACTGGTAAGTCATAAATCATAATAATATAATATATATAATTGTTTTGTTAAAAAAAACATAACTGTTAGTTAACCTAATTTCTGTTATCGTAAATATTTATAGAATAGGATATTTGACACTTTTCTGAAAACTGGCTTTTAAATGGTTCTTTGATACATTATAAACACACTGTTAATATATTTCATGGGAATCTGTTCTATGGTCAATGAAAATAATTGTTAAAGTTTAAATAGCCAAAATCGCGCAAAAAACGCTGCTCTATGTAATGGCGCTGATCACATGGTATTTGTGACGTCACCTGCCTATAAATATGATACAAATTGTATGAATAAATACGCATTTTGCGTATCTCTAATAACACTGCTTGTTGCATTTTCTTTGCGTTATTTTACTAAGACTATTTTGCCTGCAGATTCTAAGAAATAACTTTATTGGATTAGTATCAAACAGGATGGGCACAACATGCAACTAATTTTCAAAAGCGTCAAATATCTTAGTGAAAATGCAGTTTGACAGATAAAACTATATTCATATAGAGTAGCATCATATTTCTCTCTCTTAACGTAATATTTAAAGTTTTTAAACATAAAATAATAAAGGCTCGTTTTTTTTAATACGTATCAACAAGGTCTTCATCCATATTTTAAGCATTTCTCAAGTTTTAGTTGCTTATCCTATCACTATTTTAACAAATGTTTACTACTTCTAAGTACTAATTGCCATGTGGTGGTGACGGCATAATAGAATACAATTGTCACTATCCTACTTCCTGCAGGTGTCGTAAAAGCCGACAATTGGATTACACACTAAGCAGATAATGGGCAGCACTCCCTGTTAAATCATATTTTTGATCTCAATCTCCGACTCCTGGAGGTAGCCCTTAGTCCTGCAGTGGACTGTTACGAGTTGTAATGATGACTTGGAAATATCATAGATATCTCATTGATATATGAATGTAATTTCCAGGGAATACCTCGGCAAGCAATTGGAGAAAGAACAAACTGACAAGCAGGCAGGAACTGTGGTCGGAGCTAAAGCCTAATTGATGTTATATTGTGAATTTTAAATGGATTATATAATTTGTTGTTGATATAGTTGACTAAGATATTGCAATTTGCAAGCGATAATTTATACATGCCATAAAGATTGTTATTAAAAAAACTTGAATGCAATAAAATAAGTCGCAATTTAACGTAGCTTTGCCCAATGTTTGGTTGAAAATGTATTTAATATAATAAGTATTTTATTTTGAACATATAGTGAGTTTATTGTAAAAAACGTCTTAAAATTATATTTATCCTACATTATATTCCCATTGCTATTATTATAATAATCTAGGAACCAAATGATTGTGTTAAATAAATTGAAATTAAATTTTAATTACAATGTATAAATGTTGCTCTGCACATTCCTTTTATGTATATCTTAATTATATTACATTCATATATATATATAATGTATTATAAATACTGTAGGTACAAAACCTTATAACTTCGTAGAAATGTAGCAGCGAAATGGGAAAATGTTACAACCTACTTCAGTATTGTGAATAAAAGGTGAATAAAGTAAAATAACTGTTGTTTTGTTTATTACTATCATTGAATGTTCACAATTAAACTACAAAATGATATCCAACTCTTCGAAAATAAAGCTAGGTAATTTGAGTTAAATTAGATCAGCACGTCAAGTTAGTGTCAAATTTCTTCACTCTATTTTAAACCTTAACGTTTTGAGGGCAGAATTTAACATCAATAGGGTATTTGACGTTTTTCTGAAAATTATTTTAACTCTTCAGCACGCGATCGGCCGAATTCGGCCGGTCACGTGACTATTGCGCCATTCCGTGAAACCACGCTAGGCCGAATCCGGCCGACGACTTAACGCCTTATTTTCAGGCTGTTATAGTCTACTTTAGTTTGGAGAAGTTTGGTTATAAAAGTTCTTTGATTTATATTCTGTAGTCTAAATCCGGCAAAAAACTACTATCTGTGCTCATTAACACAATGTCATCATCCCAAGTTGACAGCTCACAGCACTAAGCGCGGGAGATGACCATAGATACAATCAAAATAGGCAACCACAGATACATAATAAAAACTTATACTACAACGCTAATTTTTCTTAATATTTAGTGTTCAGCGTGTTAATGTATTTTAATTCTTTTTGAACAACTCTAATACCTACTATTATAAGTCTGTGGTTAGTGTCTAAATTATTTTTGAGTGTTTAAACACTAAAGAGGTGTTATCAGCAAATAATACTGTCTCGCACAAATTGTTTGTAAAGTGAGGAACACTGTCTCATAAATTATCCCATTCCCATATAAGTAGCTCTAAGTTTGGTGCAACTGTGAAAATTTCCTCAGATTCTGCAGCTCTTCTGTGTAACTGAGGGCCAAGTTGATTTGTCAAAATGGAACCTTGAGTAGCTAGCCTGAAAGGTCATTCATGGCTTCAGTTTGACAGATAATTCTGTGCCTCAGTTACGTAACAGAGCTTCTGAAATTCGCAATAATATTATTACTTCAATTAACATTGTGTGTAGTTATACCTAATTGATATAAGGAAATTATCTATTCCTTACTGTTGAATGTATAGTACCATTTCAAAAATAGCCATAAATATATTCTATAAAATATTTTATTAAAAATATTCACTGTAACAACAACATTTATCAAGATTATAAGAAATATAGAGATAATTAATTCAAACATTTTTATTTCACATATAGATAATTTGTAAAATTATGATTTTTGTGGCTCTACCCAGCCTCCAAACGTTCTATCTAATTCTTCAGCTACAGCAAAACATAATCTATCATTGTTGTGGTTAGACACAACTTGTATGCCAATTGGTAGTCCCTCACGACCCAATCCTAAAGGCACTGTAGTTACCGGCAATCCAAGACAATTTATAATGGCAGTATAAGAAAAGTTAAATGCTTTTAGTAATGGTTCATTGTGGTATGGTGCTGGTGTTGGATGTGTTGGATATAAGAAAACACCATTTTCACCAAGCATATCAGTGAATATTTTCTCTAAGTGGTCTCTTACTTTTAAGTAATATTTATACTTCTCACTCCCAAATTGTGCTCCAGTCCGATCTGATATAGCTGTTAAAAGACCAATCAAAGTATTGTCAGAACAGCCAATAGCATTCTTAACTAATTCCGTTAAAACGGCTCCTACTCCCGTCTTTTTCATGATAAGACTTTGAAACCTTGTTTTTTCTTTCATTGTGGCCATCCAAATAGGCATTGATTTTTGTAATAATTGTATCTTAATTTCTTCTGTTTTTATGCTGTATTGCAACTTTAAGTACTCTACTACTCGCCTCATCGCCATCTTAATGTCAGGGTCGACGGGATCTGTCAAAGGCGCATCATTGCTAAGCTGGTAGTAAATTTTGAGCTTGGTAATATCAACTGGTTGATCTAATTTTAGTTTTGGACTATTTTCCCCAGCCATAATACTCAAAAGTGGTTTTAAATCTACTGCGTGTCTTGTCATGGGACCGATACCTGCAAAACAGAATTTAAGGTTGCCATTAATTTAATAATTCCTAACAGAGTCCAACATAGTATTCGCTGAATAAGCCGGCCTTTTTCTTTATTCGGTAGAGTACAGATATTGGTTATTTCTGGAGCTCATTTTCATTGATTTATGGCAAATGGGTAATGTTAAAAGCACACAAAGGTGGCCCCGCACTTTGCATGCTGACACCCATACTTTTTGTTTTCTTTGAATCATTTCCACGTCCTTCGATTTGTTCTGCGGAGTATGTTTGCTGTGTCAGTATATAATATACTATCCTATTCATGTTGTTAATTATATGTCTAGTAACGAAGTAGTTTTCTCGCGAGTCAAGAGGTGTCGTAAAGCCAAAAGACTGTCTAATTTCGCACGTAATGCGATTATGCGATAGAGGAGGATAGCTAATTGCTTGTCAAAAACGGCTTTTAATTAATTACTTGCAAAATACTGCTACATAATTCCTTCTGGTAAAATTACCACATACCGGATATAATTATCACAAGGAATGTAAAAATAGTGAATTTTTAGGGCTAGATTTATAATTATTTCTGTTGAGAAAAGGACATTGCTCAACGTGCATACATTGATGGCCCCAGAGCCAAAAAAATATAGGAAAATACTTATTTTATTGTGTGTCACTAACTAATTCTCATTGTGTATTTATTATACCGCGACCGAGTTTTAGAACTTATTATCACGCAAAATAAAATTCATTTTGAGGTTATAATTTGTTTGGAAAACCACCAAGAGATGGCACTCTAAGTATATGATATGATATTGATGTCTATATTGTCGAAGCAAAAAAACTCAACTTTAAGAAAGTCGGCTTTTCGTTGTGATTTGTAAAAATTTCTAAGTCAATCAATATACAAATAAATCATTCTAATAGTTAAATAATATACCTATTGATAAGCTTAAAATTAAAAAAACCTATAGCTTTTTGATGGTTTACATCAAAAGATGGCGCCTTAAATGACATGATGTTAATATGTTTACGAGAAATATAAAGGTAAATGTAATAGAAACAAAGTAGTTTTTAGGATATGTCCTATGAATATCAATATTTCTGAATAAACAAAAGTGAATTATCAACAGTTAATGAATTTAGTTTGTATAATATTCAGTTTTTATGTCCTTATGTTTTAGTTTGAAAATCACCAAGAAGAACATTAAATTAAATTGACCGAAAATAAACTTAAATTTACTAAAAGCGAAATTTAAGTTTATTTTCGGTCAATTTAATTTAATGTTTTTATATTCAATGATTTAAAGGTTATCTAATAAAAATAAATGATCTTCTTGATCTGACGTGTAAATTACATCCATCTGACTCAATAGAATTTAAGTATATTGAATGTGAATATATGCGAATAAAAATGTTACTGTTAAAGTACTTTTAAATATTAATTTTGGATCGCAGCTTGTCCGTGTCAAATAAATATTTGATTCCAATTTAATATATAAATAAGAAATTATTATTGAAGTATTAATATTTAATGGTATTGGGGCCATTTTCGGCGATGTTCTTTATAAATTCACGTTTTGCCTTAAATAGACTCATTAAAACTATGATTAGGATTTCTGAATTTTAATTCGGAACATCTTTTTTAATATAATTGATTTGTAATATTTACTCCTGTATGGAGTAACTATTACTCCCGAAGAACCTATATGTAGATTTACCTATTCTCTGTTTAATATGAATTTGGACTAATAATAAAATTGCAATTTTAGCGTAAATATACTCTGACGCTCAATCTCGTTTATTAATAGCACTGCTAGATTACTTGAGGTAGACGTGAGTTTGAAACAAGAGGGAACTGTTAATAGCTAATAATAATAGTACTTTAACTATTCACAATTCTTTCTTCGTTCAATTTTTGTTTATTGGGTAATAATGTCAGCTTAATTATTATATTTGATCAATTTTGCATTCACAATACTATATTATATTGGAAATTTATTATATTGGAAAATATTCTTAATGAAAAATGCAAAAAAAATCCTAACTTGCCCTTGATACCAAGGACAAAGTGAAAAATTTCAGCTTAAGTTATTACATATTCTCAAGTCATTACTTCTTTCGACTATAGATAAGCTGTTATAAAGAAAGTAATGCTAAAATATAGTCTTTAAGAAGAAGAAGTTATAATCCTTTATAAAATGTTTAGAAAACTACGACACACACTACTTATTTCATTAGCCAAGTAGGTACCAATGACTAATCATTGAAAATGAGCCCCAGAAATCACTCTCACTCAACATGCGGGTTTTATCGTAGAAAGTAAATGAGTTTCAAGTAACGATGGCATACGGACTCGTGAACTTTTAAAGTCCAATTACAAAACTGAAGCTTCAATGATACTTGAAACATTTTCTATAAATGTGCCTTACATTTATTTTTAAGCATATGACAATATTACTCTCGACTTTTTATATACACTTATCCGTTTCAGAGCCGTAGGTATGAGTTTGTCCTTAAATTTGAACTTCAACAATGAATATATGGAAATATTACCTTGTACAGTAATTAAATCATTAAGTAAAGTTTTAAAACTATAGTGAATTTCTATTATTTATTAGTTATAACTGTATGTTGAACTTCGAATAACGTTAAAAGACATTTTACAGAATATTATTCAATAATGTGCACTATTTTGCTGTTGCGCTCTCAGCACTACTTATCTCAAAAACGGTTGACTTCGCTAATCGGATAATTTTGGAACAGTCGTCTATGTCCGAATCCGGTCTTGGTAATTATTTTAAAGTTTTTTATATCAATATCAATTGTCTCTCAAATACCTATAAAGAAAAAGACAAGTAGAATATATTTTTCCTGGATTTGCTTAATAAACAAAAGGTTACTTAAGGATAAAGTTTAAACTCTGTATAATTTTTATAATTTGCAATGTAGCCTTAATGCAATTACTTATCACCAACCTAAAAAGGAATTCAATAGTTCCGAGTCCTGTATCGGATATTGTCCTTTGTTGGAGACCATAAATTTTGAAGGTTTGTGTCCGAAGATTCCATTGAAAAAGGCAGGCATGCGGATGGATCCTCCTATGTCAGAACCTGTAAAGTTAACAAAAAGAGTGAAAAATGTTCGCTGCTAATATAGCTTTGTATCGATAAAACGATCGGCTATCATTTAATTAATGTCCTACAGAAAACCTCCACCTTACTTCCATAAGAGTTTCTTGAATAGTTAAGTCGCTTTTAATATAAGTATTATTTCTTACTTTTTTTAAGTTTTAAAAGCCTAAAGTACAAAAGGCGGTACATATATATATATATAAACTTACAACTACATATACATATATATACAATAACACAAATATTATATTGTCATTTTTTACATAATTGATAACATTAAAAATATCTATCTATATAAAAAAATATGACAATATAATGCAAGTCTTAGGAAATGAGTTTTTTTTTATTTGCTAGATAAGTAAGTAGGTATTATTCCTCACTTTTCTAAAGTTTGGAGTAGATACTATTTAAAAAAAAACTGTTCAGATAATAGTTTACGAAAGTTAGTTCTCCTTTTATAATAAGACGGTTTCTGTTTACAGCATGAAAAGGCGGCATGAAAACCTACACACACTTACCAACTCCAAAAATACTCCCAGCAGCTGCTTGAATAGCTCCTTCTCCTCCCGATGAACCACCGACAATTCTTGTCGTATTGTACGGATTGTTAGATCTGCCATGGATATGATTATGGGATTCCCACCTGGAATATGAATGAATGAATTACTTAAGAACAGTCAACAGCATATCAGATTATACAAAACTATAAAATTTCCTCATTTGATTTTAAACCTTATTAGATTACAAAATCAATTCCGGAAATTTGACATGTGGTAGGTAACCTAACGTGCTGTCGTTTTTACATATCCACTGCTGCTCATTATTCATGTAGTAAGTAGATACCAATTACCTACCTAACATTTCATGGTGTTTCTGTTTTATAGTAATTAATTGAAGATATCGCATACCTAATTTCTTAAAATTAATTTCTTAAAAATCGTATTACGTTAACTTTCATTATCAATTTAATGGATTCGTGATAAAGACAACGACATGAGCTCACCACATGCAAAGTTCAGGGACGTTGGTGAGTCCGATTATTATGGCGCCCTTTTCTTGCAGCAATCTGATGACGTCAGCATCTTGATCGGCTACTACATCTTTTCTTAACATCACTCCCGCAGTATGATGTAGTCCTGGAAACAATTCACATATTTTTGTAGCATTCTTTAAGGCTGGGCGTAAAAAGAAAATAAGACTATTATAAACAAACTAATAGATCAGGACAGAAGATTGTGTATTGCACATATATTTACTATAAAATATTGTGTCACATTAAATTTTATACTTAAAATTCATATTCAAATGGTGAATTTTATACTTAAAATTCATATTATTAGACAGTGACTAGCAAAGCTCATAGATTAATTACGAGGTTCTACGGATAGAATATTTATTCCTAGAAGTAAGCAGGTTTGCTTATTCTCTGTATAATATGAACTTGGACTAATAATAATAATAATAACTTTATTTACCAAAAAAGAAAATACTGAAATTGCAATTTTAGCGTAAATTTTCTCTTATCTTAAACTTTGTTTGTTAATAGCACTGTTAATAATTTCTATCGAAAAAAAATTAATTCACGTTTTGCCTATGGGAAAATCATCAGCCATACGACACCCATTGCTGAGCATAGGCCTCCCCATAGATCTCCAATACGATCGGTCTAACGCTGCCCGCATCCATACATCCAAATTTACAATTTAACTAGACGTAATTTCTTTGTACAAGACCCATTGAAAGTTAGTGATTTTTAGTTTACGAACCCTCTTAAAGAACTTACAAAACTCAGTTCAAAATATATAAAAAAATTATGACTTGCTTGATTAACACTAGCTAAATTTGGCGAGGATTTTTTTAGTTAGGTAGACCAAATATTCTTGTGGTAACTTAGGCTTAAGTATATAAAGAAATGAAAAGCTAGGTTCTGTATATTGCAAGACATCCTATCATTATTTATTATTATTTAACATAGTTTCAGGTAATTAAATAGAGTTTTAGATTATAAAACTTATTTGTCATACAAGTTCAAACCAGTAAAATTTGCAATAATGGTTTTTAGTTTATAAGCACGAAGATTATCTTACCTTTCACAGCTATGCAATCTTTAGTCGTGAAAGGAACACCCAAGAAGGGCTTCTCTTTTTCTAGTTGTTCTGACGTCTTGGTGCCGTTTCGAATGAACTCGTCTGCCTCATGCGCTTCTTTGAGAGCCAATTCAAAGCGGTCTTCGACGAAACAATTAAGGGCAGAGTTCACATCTTTTATGCGCTTTATACATATCTGTAGCACTTTCACGCTCGTTATCTGTGAAAAAAAAATTGACCCAATTTTAATAAAGGTGATGATACTATTGAAAGCAACTGAGTATGTTGGTAACATTGGCTATTGATATAAACATTTTAGTTGTCCGAATACGCCTTTTGTTTTCCTACAATGGCTTGTAATAAAAAAATTTTATCACTTTTTTGACAAAACGTTATTAAAAGAACCGTCAAGTGCGAATCAGACTTGCGTACTGCAGGTTTCGTACTAAATTACTACGTAATTATAAAAAGCATAAAGTTATAGGTGAGTAAATATCTATTATTTCATAATTTTGACTTTCTCATCTCGGAGATAATGTTTCTTAAATACCTAAGTTAAAGCTACTGTTGATTTCGAAAAGATAATACATTTAAGATACTCATATTTCATATCTATTTTACAAGATATTGTAAAATTTTATTTGAAATAATATCCTTTTTATTCCCCAAAGTAGCCGCCATGTTTGAAATTCATTTACATATGTTATACGTGCGTTTATTGGCCATCGAATCACATTATAATATTAGCTAATAGTTTCGAAGGATTTTAACTGTATGTGACAAAGACAGAATAATAGACAACCGAGTGGTTCTATAAGAGTTACGTTTATCCGGTTCGTACGGAACCCTAATAAATAAAATTACAAACCACTGCCGGCGCCGGGCCCCATAAAAAATTGTGATGCCTTTGTCAAAACAAACTAAGACTTATCGAAGCTAATTTTTTCTAGTTTCACTTATACTGAAATGTGTTATAATTATAATTAAATACGGTTGGTAGGTATATAATATATTATTTGAGAAGCTACAAAATTATAATAGCGTACAATAAGAAGCTATCAAGCGTTCTAACACTCTAAATCAACTTAGGCTTAAGTATATAAAGAAAGCAAGCAATAAAATCAGTGGCTGCAAGCAATAAAATTTGCAGAACTTGAGTTGTACAAGCGTCATGTAAGCTGTAAATTCACTCAAGTGACTGCAAATTTTGGTGAATTGTTGAGCTAACTGCTTGATCCATGTGTATGCTGCAGCTGATTCGGAAATTGGACTCTGTCGTCAATCGACTTCTGCAAAAAATTGCGGTAGTTACTTCCCAGTTTACGTTCAACATTAAAGCTATTGCTCCGTCTAACTAGAGGAGGTCATAGCCATGAATGTTATGAACTCAAAAACTACCTAATGTATATTATAATACAATCGTATTTCTATAGGTCTTCGCCAATAGACAGAGAACTTTGCGAGGGTGGATAATGTATTTAACTCATAATTTTATGTAGATAAATTCGTTAAAATATGACAGTAATTTTTATAGTGCTCTAAGAAAACCATGTTGACTAGAAGCTTTTACGGGGTACCGTAAATTGCATTGTAGGAAGACGAGCCGAATCTCCAATTCATTCGATTCGAAAAATTTGTTTGCGTCCGTCCAATAGGCTCTGAAATAACTGAACCGATTTTCGATTTTCTTTCACCTATGGGAAGCTAACAGTTAGTGAAATAAAACATTTTTAAATATATAAGATAGATTAAAGAGATAAATCTGTCTATCTATCCTGATAATTAACGAAATGAATTGTGACTTTACTTAGTGGAACGTAATTTTTTTTTGTTTCTATTCTAATTTGTGAGTTAATGACGTACGAGGTGTCTGTGGTAGGTACAAGTAAAATTACGTAAATTAGTTAGATACATTTCAGACGAAAATTTCATAACTTAAATAATATTGCAGAAATCTGTTATTTTACTTAGATAATTTACATTACTGATTGAGGTTATTATATTGCTACATGGGACAGAAAGAATATAGAAGGAAAACCCTTTTGTAGAAAAAAAGAATTTTTAGTAGTTTCTTGTTGTTATTAATAAGTTCGTTGTTAATGTACTTAGCATTTTGAACTATACAGAATATTATATTACTTCACACAGAACATAATTAACATGTTCTATATTAAATAATAAGAAAAAAAACAGACTTTTAAACACCCTAATAAAATTAAGTAATATTTCAAAAAACTAATATTGAAGTCGGGTGGGGGTTTTATGGTTGCTTTTAAGTGACAATACTGGTTGATTTTTAGTTCTGAACTTGATTTGTTTATGGCCTTTGCCGCCTTCAAGGTTTCAGTTAATTGTTCTTCAAATAGATAATTATCTATTTTTGTTTCATACAATTGGTCTCTTATCTCTTTTTTATTGTAGAGCAAATAAAACCTCTTCGGATCCTTGATTCTGTGTGTTGTAGGTCACACGCCAATTTTCCCGCCTCCGTTAATAATTTTATTAGTGGCAAATTTGAATCTTTGCTGCTTAACAAGGATGTAAGGCCTACCTATGTAGGATATAATCATAGCTATTTGTCGCTGTTTATATTCTATGGCTTTGTCTTTTTTTGTAAGTATGTCCGATAAGGCAACTTTTATTTCTGCATTTAAAACAGGAGCTCCAATTGTACGAGCTAACGCAGTACATAGCAACATTAATATTTAGCGTAAAATAAGTTATTGCACTATGACCCAGATGTGTTTGCATACACATCACTTTTCAAAATGTACAAATAATTATTATAATAAACTCAGTGTTTTAATAACATTCATACGGTTCGGTTTTATTTAGCACTCCTTTGAGTAACCCTACCCTTAGCAAGCATACGAGTGTGGGGAGCAATTCCTACATTTTGGTCCTTCGACCAACCGTTGCGGGACCATATCGGTATTGTTTTATTAACTATTCGCGATCAAAACAAAAGCTTTATCAGTGCACGTAACAAGTGTTTAAAGTAGTCGAACTAAGTGCATAGTTAAAGTTCTCGCAACGTTCTGAACAATAGCATTTCTAGCAATCAGTGAGCATCATCAAGCATTTGACCACGAATTTCGCTTGGGCGGGATATAACGTGTCAGCAACAAATCGGTAGAAATATCGACGAGCACTTTACAACAACTTCGTGAAATCAAGTAAGATTGTTCCTTATATTTTTTAATTAATCATGGAGAATCTCATCCAACGTCAGTCAGCAATCCTTGAGCAACTGAAACAGATTAGCAGCAACTTCAATAAGGACTCGTCTAGTCGTAAAACACCGGATTACATTCAACGGCGTTTAGATGCGATAGATAACCTTTGGGGAGAGTTCAGTTTAAATAATGAGCAATTACAATTTTATGAAGATAAAAATCAAACCTATTTTGTGGAAAATATTTTTAAGCAAGTGAAGGAATTTTATATGTCATTACGTCAATCAATTTCGTCATTCAAAGGGGAAGATAGGCAAACAGTAGATAAAGGTGTTCAAGGTGGAAAGGTGAATGAACTTTTGTGTCAGCAAAAAACTAATTTTCGAGCATTTAATCGATTAGTACTGAGTATCAACCCTAAAGAAATTTCTGAAAAGTGGGAGTTAGAAGATGAACTGCGTAATTTACAGTCGAAATGGAATATAATCGATAGCATGCATTTACAAATTGATAATTTTCTACAGGGAAAAGATACAGCTTACGAATGAATTGAGTATACATGAAAAAACGTTCAAGCAAATGAAACGCGCACTTAATAAAAAAATGTCAGCTTTAGTTCACGTTCAGCATGCCACACCGGTCATCGATATTCCAATATTTACGGGCAAATATACACAGTGGCCCACATTTTTTGACTTATTTACCGAGTCTATACATAATAGCACTATTTTATCTAAAACGCAGAAAATGCAACATTTAAAGTGTAAGGTAAAAGGGGAAGCTGAACGAATAATTCAACATCTTAATGTTACGTCTGAAAATTACGATGCCGCATGGGAATTATTAACACATCGATACAATAACCCACAAGTTCTATTCACAATGAATATTGAAACATTTTTGAATCAACCCATTATCCATAAGCAAACTTCGTACGAATTGAAAAGACTTTACGATACGAGTACCGAGTGCATTCACGCGATTCATAACTTAGGTGTAGACACAAATACCTGGGATCCTCTATTAGTACATCTTCTAGCAAAAAAATTGGATACAGCAACTTACAGTGACTATAAGGAATCTCGCCAGTCGCCAAGAGACTTACAAACACTTAACGAATTTATGGCATTTTTAGAAGCGAAATTTATCACTTTAAAGCCGATACATAGGGAAAGCAAAGAAAAGGAAATACCTTCACTAACTACCAGATATAACCAGAATTATCAAAAGCCTACAGCATTATATAATAGACAAGTTAGACATTTTTCATCATATAAAGCAGCTCCAACCTTTTCATCTTATGTAAAGTGTCCTTTATGCACCTTAGATCATCAGTTATTTAAATGTCATAAATTTTTAAATCTTCCAGCAGAAGCCAAAATGAGAACAGTTGTGAAATATCGAGTTTGTCAAAATTGTTTATTTAAGCATAATGAAAAATGTCGTTTCTTCATTTTTGTTTATTTAAGCATGTGAAAAACACTTTACTACATGACGCATGTAAGCAGCCAATGACCGCTCCAATTAATTTACCTACGCCAGTAACTAGAACTACGTCACCGCAACCGTCAACATCCAGACAACATAATGTTAATCATGTTGCAGCCGATAATGAAGAAGTTTTATTAACAACAATACTTTTAAAATTAAAAGCGGCTGACGGCAGCTATGTAACACTGAGGGCTTAATTAGATCAAGGTTCTCAAATTACATTGATATCTGAAAACGCTGCCTAGATGCTTGGTTTACAAAGACAGCGATATAATGCGTCAGTATCTGGAATCGGTACAGGTGCGAAACATAGCAAGGGTGTCGTATCAATCGATTGTCAATCTATTTATAATGATTTTAATTTTACAACGCAAGCATTAGTCATAACAAAGGTTATCAGTGACTTGCCGAATAGCATATTTACCAAACAGAGTTGGTCCCATTTAGAACATGTTCAGCTAGCAGATCCAGAGTACAACATTTCAAGACCAATCGATTTACTCCTGGATGCGACTATTTACTCTGACGTAATAATGAATGGTCTTATAAAAGG